GAGCGTCTGCTAAATGACTAAAATGTAAATGTAAAATGTACAAAAAAACACACAACATGACAAGTAACAAAATGCTGATACGCTGATAGACAAGGACAGTCACACAAATGTAATGATATACAAACAATACAACAACAAAAAAGCATACAAACAATCCCACTAAAAAATAACGTGTGTGTTAGAGGGTGTCTGTGTGTTTGTGTGTGTGTCCCTTCACAGTCCCCACTTTTACATGAGATATAGTTTAATCCGTTTTTAAAGGTAATTTTGCTGTTTGCTTGAGTAATTGGTGATGGAAGGGAGTTCCATGCGATCATGGCTCTGTATAATACTGTGCGTTGACGTTAATTAATTTTGGACTTGGGGACTGTGAAGAGACCCCTGGTGGCATGTCTTGTTGGTGTCTGAGCTGAATGTAATTTGATTATAATAATAATATACAGTGCCTTGCAAAAGTATTCATCCCCCTTGGCGTTTTTCCTATTTTGTTGCATTACAACCTGTAATTGAAAGGGATTTTTATTGGATTTCATGTAATGGACATACACAAAATAGTCCAAATTGGTGAAGTGAAATGAAAACAATAACTTGTTCCAAAAAATTCTAAACAATAAATAATGGAAAAGTGGTGCGTGCATATGTATTCACCCCCTTTGCTATGAAGCACCTAAATAAGATCTGGTGCAACCAATTACCTTCAGAAGTCACATAATTAGTTAACTAAAGTCCACCTGTGTGCAATCTAAGTGTCACATTATCTGTCACATGATCTCAGTATATATACACCTGTTCTGAAAGACCCCAGAGTCTCCAACACTACTAAGCAAGGGGTACCACCAAGCAAGCGACACCATGAAGACCAAGGAGCTCTCCAAACAGGTCAGGGACAAAGTTGTGGAAAAGTACAGATCAGGGTTTAGTTTATAAAAAAATATCCGAAACTTTCAACATCCCACGGAGCACAATTAAATCCATTATTTAAAAATGGAAAGAATATGGCACCACAACAAATCTGCCAAGAGAGGGCCGCCCACCAAAACTCACGGACCAGGCAAGGAGGGCATTAATCAGAGAGGCAACAAAGAGACCAAAGATAACCCTGAAGGAGCTGCAAAGCTCCACAGCGGAGATTGGAGTATCTGTCCATAGGACCACTTTAAGCCGTACACTCCACAGAGCTGGGCTTTACGGAAGAGTGGCCAGAAAAAAAGCCATTGCTTAAAGAAAAAAATAAGCAAACACGTTTGGTGTTCGCCAAAAAGCATGTGGGAGACTCCCCAAACATATGGAAGAAGGTACTCTGGTCAGATGAGACTAAAATTGAGCTTTTTGGCCATCAAGGAAAACGCTATGTCTGGCGCAAACCCAACACCTCTCATCACCCTGAGCACACTATCCCCACAGTGAAGCATGGTGATGGCAGCATCATGCTGTGGGGATGTTTTTCATTGGCAGGGACTGGGAAACTGGTCAGAATTGAAGGAATGATGGATGGCACTAAATACAGGGAAATTCTTGAGGGAAACCTGTTTCAGTTCAAGATTTGAGACTGGGACGGAGGTTCACCTTCCAGCAGGACAATGACCCTAAGCATACTGCTAAAGCAACACTCAAGTGGTTGAAGGGGAAACATTTAAATGTCTTGGAATGGCCTAGTCAAAGCCCAGACCTCAATCCAATTGAGAATCTGTGGTATGACTTAAAGATTGCTGTACACCAGCGGAACCCATCCAACTTGAAGGAGCTGGAGCAGTTTTGCCTTGAAGAATGGGCAAAAATCCCAGTGGCTAGATGTGCCAAGCTTATAGAGACATACCCCAAGAGACTTGCAGCTGTAATTGCTGCAAAACGTGGCTCTACAAAGTATTGACTTTGGGGGGTTGAATAGTTATGCACGCTCAAGTTTTAAGTTTTTTTGTCTTATTTCTTGTTTGTTTCACCCCCAAAAAATTGTTTGCATCTTCATAGTGGTAGGCATGTTGTGTAAATCAAATGATACACACCCCCAAAAAATCCATTTTAATTCCAGGTTGTAAGGCAGCAAAATAGGAAAAATGCCAAGGGGGGTGAATACTTTCGCAAGCCACTGTACGCCATTTAGCAGACGTTTTTGATGCAGACAGTAATATCTCTCATGAAAAGTTTTAGATGTATTTAAGACCAGTTTATTATTAATCACCTATTCTGATACTGACTGTAACTCCTTATTTAGAATTTTAGTGAGCTCACTGGCTTTGGGTGCTGACATGAAGAGTGTGGAATCATCCACATAACATAGTCATTCTAGCTTTGTGTAAGACCAGTGGCAAATAATTTGTAATAATAGAGAAGAGTAACGGCCCAAGGCAACTGCCCTGAGGGACACCACACTGTACATATCTGATGTTAGAGAAGCTTGCATTGAAGAACACTCTCTGGATTCTATTGGATAAATAACTCTCCAACCATGTGATGGCAGGGGATGTAAAGCCAAAGCAAGTGAGTTTCTTCATTAACAATTTATGATCAATAACAGGGCATAGAAAATGAATAGGCCTATTATTTGACTGTATAGGCTTCTTCCAAAATATTTTGGGCAATATGTCTGTCATTGCTAAGCTGTACATGTAGGCTACATAAGCCATCAAAATCCAATGCATTGAACAGGCCTACGGATTTTGGGGTAAAATGTAATCATAAATGCTTGCCCCCAACTAAAATGTGAGTTATGTGCACAGATCTGAAGTTAGGAATCCACTGGCCCCTCGATGCCCCCCATTGTCTTATACTGCAGAAAGAAATAAACACCTACACTGAGAGTACAAAACATTAGGAACACATTCCTAATATTGAGTTGCCCTCAGAACAGCCTCAATTCGTCGGGGCATGGACTCTACAAGGTGTCCAAAGCGTTCCACAGGGATGCTGGCCCATGTTGACTCCAATGCTTCCCACAGTTGTGTCAAGTTGGCTGGGAGTGGATCTCTACTTCGAATAGCTTGTTCCATCTCATCCCACAGATGCTCAATTGGATTTAGATCTAGTGACTGGGCAGGCCACTCCTGTAAGCTGAATTCACTGTTATGTTCATGGAACCATTCCTGGACAATCCTAGCCTTGTGCCATGGGGCATTATCCTGCTGAGAAAATCAGATTAGCAGATGGATACACTGCTGCCATGAAGGGATGCACCTGATTGGCAATGATGTTCAGATATCCTGTGACATTCAAACATTGTTCCACTTTTATCAAGGGGCCCAATGCGTGCCATGAAAACACACCCCACACCACAACACCACCAGCCTGCAATATTGACACGCGGCATGATGGATACATGCACTCATGTGGTTTTCTCCATACCGTAGTCCTCCCATCAGCGTGAAACAGCAGGGTTCATCAGACCAATTCTCCAGTGTCCAGTGTTTTCATTCCTTAGCCCAATGCAACCGCAGTGTCTTGGTTTTTTGCTGAAAGAAGTTTAACTCTGTAAGGTCGTCAGCTTCCCCCATTCGTGTCAAGGTATGACGAGTTGTGCATTCTTTTATGGGTCTTTGGGCACCCATGTTGTACTGGACTGTCAGTTGACTTACTGTAGCCTGTCTGTTGCTCTGCACAATTTGTGTCAGCCTCCTTTGTCCTCTTTCATCAATGGCCCGTTTTTGACCACTGACCTGCTGTTGGCTGGATGTCCTTTGGGTGGTGGACCATTCTTGATACACACAGGTTACTGTTGAGCGTGAAAAACCCAGCAGTGTTGCAGTTCTTGACACACTCAAACCGGTGCGCCTGGCACCTACTACCATACCCCATTCAAAGGCACTTAAATATTTTGTCTTGCCAATTCACCCTCTGAATGGCACACATACTCAATCAATGTCTCAATTGTCTCAAGGCTTAAAAATCCTTCTTTAACCTGTCGCCTCTCCTTCATCTTCACTGATTGAAGTGGATTTAACAGGTGACATTAATACTGGCACTATGGGGAATGCCAAACGATTCTCTTCACAATGGCCTACCCAAAAAGCATTTGAATAATTTCCCTTAGGAAAGGATAGGCTATCGTTTTTTTTTAAAGTAACTGTCCTATGTTTCGAGATTTCTATGAAATATGATCTATAATTAATTACAATATGAGTTAAATATTTTTCCTTCCAAAAAATGTTACCTGTGTATGTTAAAAAGCAGTTTTTCTGTGTTGGAATGTTGTGGGCATACCCCAACAATAGAATGGTGTTGGCTTATACTGATCATAAAAAATAGCCTATTCATGCTAGTAGACCACTGATTGGCCAGCTCATCCTCCTCATTCTCCATGAGGAAATAGCAAGCATTTTTTAAATGTCTGTTTGAGATACAAGTTTGAGGTCAGTTTTTTAAGAGTCTTTTCTCCAATTTATGCTTTGGCCACAAATGCGAGTATAGGATGAGTCAACAACATTATTTGGGTAGCCCATGAGTTATGAGAATATTAACTTTTAAAAGTGAGATTTTCACTGAACAGTTACTTTAAGATGGAGAAGCAAATGTCCATGGTTGCAATCACCAGGCATTATAGGTTGAAGTCTTCACAACTTGGAATTTAATTAAACTTACATTAGGCTATGTGACTCTAAATAGGTCAATAAGCTCTCAATCAAGTCTATTCGTTTTTGGCTAAATGTATATCATATTATTGTTAAATGAAAATATATCCAACCCATTCATTATTTTATTTTTCTAAACTTCACCTTTTCAAAAGTGCCCTATCGACCCAAAGTGGCACGGGTCATTTCTTGGAGAGGTATGCAATTTGCCAACTAAACGCATTGTAAACATGGCTTGGATTGACCAATGGGATAACCTCATGCCAAACGGGTGGAACCAATCCCATATCGAATAGAAATTAAGTGTCACGTAGAGTTGGTTTCACCGCTCACACTTTAACCGAGATCATAACTTTAAGAGGTGGAAAGACGACGACACTTCAATATCGTTTTGAAACAACTGTTCAACGTCTGCAAACAACGCGGACACTGGTTCAAATGGAGAAATCAAAAAATTTCCGCATCGATGCGCTTCTGGCTGTTGACCCGCCGAAGGTGCAGACATCTCCGCTTGCGCTTGTGACTTCTTTATCATCCTCTTCCATTTCATCGTCCGGAAGTGTACCAAACTCAGAATTGAATGCCGACTCTTTACGGAATGAGACGCCGTCTCCACCGCGGATTTCCCCTTCTGGTTTGATTCCTAAACCAGGCTTCTTGAACAGTCCCCACAGTATGGTTGGATTACATCCACAGAGCAGCGCAGGGATCCCTCCCCAGGCTCTCTACGGCCACCCCATGTATACCTACTCCCTAGGGCAGCACCCTGCCTTGTCCTACTCATATCCGCATGGGTCCCATCACCACCATCCATGCAGCGACTCCCTCAAACTCTCGGCCGGGACGTTTCAGCTCGACCACTGGCTGCGAGTCTCCACAGCGGGAATGATGCTACCCAAAATGCCCGATTTTAATTGTGAGTATTGTGAGTATAACCGCGCCATTCTTTTTCATAGTTTGTCGTCTATGCTTATACTTATTACATTATTTTTGGACTGCTAATAAATCACTGCTGACTTTATATTTGCTGTATACGCACTTGGCGAGCAAGTTGATGCATTTTACATTATTGCCCCATTGGTGCCTTTATTGCCTCAAGACTTGGTGAAGAAAGGTTTCCATGTCTGGCATGGCCAGAAAGGCTGTTTGAGTGCGAGGAGAGAGGGTGATAGGTTTTTAGAGAGAAACTAAAATGGTGTGAAAGTGACAGTGTGAAACCCGCAGGCGACACACTGTTTGCTCACCAGATACTGCGCTTTTTGTTCCTGTTCGTTTTAACAGATGTCTTTAAAATGATGTGGCAAATAGCTTAGCTCTCTCTGAATATATATTCTGGCAATGTTAGATGTTATACTAACAATATTATGGCAATTTCGACCGGAACTCACCGTTAGGTCCCCTGTAGCTCAGTTGGTAGAGCATTGCGCTCGCAACGCCAGGGTTGTGGGTTCGTTTCCCATGGGGGGGCAGTATGAAAACGTATGCACTCACTAACTGTAAGTCGGTCTGGATAAGAGCGTCTGCTAAATGACTAAAATGTAAATGTTTCTTGAGAAGGCTGCATAGCGTGCAAAAACACACATTTCTATCCCAAAGGCTATATGTGTTCAATTTAAATTAAAGCTTTTATCCATTTAATATTTAACAACTGATTTTCCATTTAAACCTGAAATGATTACCCTGTCATTTTCAATGTGTGTATTACAAAATAACATCTTGTTATAGGCTATATCATATAGGCCTAAAGGAAATTGTTATCTCAATATTATTCCTTTTGTTTGCAGACATATTAGATTTTTCAGCCATATAATGGTTTTTATTATAGCCTAAGTCTACTGCCTGTCGAATAATGTATTAAAATGCTGTGCATAGGCATAATTAATGTAAAAGCACACACGTTGCCATAATTTTTTTCTTGACCTCATGAGTATAGAAATGTACTTTATATTTTGTTTTCCAGCTCAGGCCCAGTCAAACTTGCTCGGAAAGTGCAGAAGACCAAGGACTGCATTCACAAGTCAGCAGCTACTGGAGCTTGAGCATCAATTCAAACTGAATAAGTATCTGTCGCGACCAAAGCGCTTTGAGGTGGCTACATCCTTGATGCTGACCGAAACGCAGGTATATAAGAGCTTCAAATACATGTTTGTTTGAGAGCCATTGTGAAACATTTACATTTTAGTCATTTAGCAGACGCTCTTATCCAGAGCGACTTACAGGACCAATTAGGGTTAAGTGCCTTGCTCAAGGGCACATCGGCAGATTTTTCACCTAGTCGGCTCGGGGATTAGAACCAGCGACTTTTCGGTTACTGGCACTACGCTCTTAACCACTAAGCTACCACTATTATGCTATTCAATCCGTTTTACATGAAAACTCTGTTCTTTAGTTGTGTGCTCTATGGTCTGGCCAGGTGCTGCTCTAGGTGCCCATTACGCACGGCTCGAATCCAAAAACGGCCTATTAACTTGAACTATTATTGTTCGACCATATAAAACACATTTTCTCAAAAATATTTGTTATTTTCATTTTCAGGTGAAAATTTGGTTTCAGAACAGGCGGATGAAGTGGAAACGGAGCCGGAAGGCCAAAGAGCAAGCCGCACAGGAGGCTGAGAATAAGAAAAGCAACAAAAACGGCAAAGAGAAATCGGACGGACAGGAACAAACGGATTATCAAAAGACTGGTTCTGCCAAAAGTAACAGAATAAGAGACTTCAGGGACAGTGACGATGATGAAGGTGACAACTTCCTGTACAACTCCTCGGATTGCTCATCGGACGACGAGAGAACCCACACCAGTGATATAAGCCCACAGCCTTGATAGGGGTAAGGATACATGTAGTTTTGAAAAGCTATAGGCCTACACTCCTTAAATGTGAATGGAATTTTCCACCAAACTGCAGCTGCATGTACAGTAATAACAACCTTCAATCACCTACCTGGAAATTACGAAAGTAATTAGAAAAATTGGGAAAATACAAACTGATCAATGCCTGACTGAGATTCAGTGTGCAGAATGGCCCTATGAGGTAAGATTGACGTTTTAGAATGCAGTTTCGAGGTACACTCTGCTATTTGTAACATTGCATGGTTTTATGTGAAAATGTCATGTCTTCATCCAGTTGGTTTAGGACCCTAAAGTCCAGTACAATCACATGGGTTCTCCACTATAGGGGTTGTTATCATACTATTTTGATATGGCGACCAATTGTAAATTCAGACATGATATTAATCTTTGCATTTTATTTTGTTTAATGTTATTGAATTTGTGTGGTGTTACACTTCTGTAATTGTGTCATATACTGTTTACGTGCAGAAAAATGTTTTTTGTTTATTTTTGTATACTGTATTTATAAAATGGCTAATGCATGCTAAATTACTGTTAACCATCTCCCATGATACAGACGACATTAAATACATTTGTTGTATAGAACATTGTGTTTTTTAGTGCTGACCAATGTGAATTTATCAAACACACTTAGCCAATTATGGTCCCATTTCGGAGCCAATTTGGTCTCCGTTTAGAGGTCATAAGCATACACATAGGTCTATATAATTGACCTTATGATCCAGTATAATTTTGAGTGATATATTGATTTAGCCAGCAAGTATGTACTTTCCACAGTATAATTTTGATGAGTAAATGCATATTGTTGTGGTGCATAACGTTTTACAATTTATTGAGGGCTATTGTGAGAAGTAGGAGAATATTTGAAGAAATAAATAACGACATAATGTCTATATTTAGCAGATCGAATGACAATCGGATTAGTTCTCTTTCCGCCTATACAGTGATTACCAAGCGGTTTCAACAGCTTATTAATACGAGCCCATTGCTGGTCTAGTGTGAAATGGTTCCACGGTCTTACTCCAGACTTGTGTTTGCTCTCCCAGCACGTTTCCACAGATCCGACAGCGCTATAAACAGCGATTCCCATGACCCGACCTGTCAGACCAACGGGGACGACAGATCCTTCAGTAGGCCTACGAAGTGTATAATAGCCGACATATAGCCTACATCCACAGCTTATAATGCAGGTCTTTCTGGATTTAGGCTACAGTTTATGTTACATCCACCACAACAATATGCCTTTTACTCATCAAAATTATAGGCTACTGAGCTCACTACATAATCTTTAGGCCTGAAGAGACTGCAGCAGAGAGAAATACAATATTGGAAGAAGGCAGTGCTCTTAGCAATTGCATGTCTGGCAATGTAATTCAGTCCAGTTTAATAGAAAGTAATAGTCTAATACATATTTAGGCCCACCCTTAAGAAAAAAACATGAATTTCACATGTGAAGTTAATGTGACAACATGTAAAAGCAGCATGTGATAACATGAAAATACATATGTGAAGTGTTCCAAAACCTCATGGTTTCACATGATTTCACATGGGAAAGGTTGTGTGATCACTTGTGAAAATCCATGTGAAACTTCATGTGAAATATCATCAAATGTGAAGTGTTCCAAAAACACATGGTTTCACATGATTTCACATGTGAAATAAAATTGTGAATTATATGGTTTTTCCTCAAGGGCTTAGCAAAAAAACAAGTAGTACATTTGGTTGAACGTGAACGAAAAGCATTTCCTAAACGTGGAAATTTCACATGTGAAATCATGTGTTTTTCTGTAAAGGTAAATAGCTACCAATAATTTATATCTCAGATCAATTACTAGAGTACATGTAAATATCAACACAATGCTCCAGGCATGAATAACAATTCCTTTGCAATATACAGTTGAAGTTGGAAGTTTACATACACCTTAGCCAAATACATTTAAACTCAGTTTTTCACAATTACTGACATTTAATCCTAGTAAAAATTCCCTGTCTTAGGTTCACCACTTTATTTTAAGAATGTGAAATGTCAGAATAATAGTAGAGAGAATTATTTATTTCAGCTTTTATTTATTTCATCACATTCCCAGTGTGTCAGAAGTTTACATACATTCAATTAGTATTTGGTAGCAGTACCTTTAAATTGTTTAACTTGGGTCAAACGTTTTTGGGTAGCCTTCCACAAGCTTCCCACAATAAGTTGGGTGAATTTTGGCCCATTCCTCCTGACAGAGCTGGTGTAACTGAGTCAGGTTTGTAGGCCTCCTTGCTCGCACACGCTTTTTCAGTTCTACCCACAAATGTTCTATAGGATTGAGGTCAGGGCTTTGTGATGACCACTCCAATACCTTGACTTTGTTGTCCTTAAGCCATTTTGCCACAACTTTGGAAGTATGCTTGGGGTCATTGTCCATTTGGAAGACCCATATGCGACCAAGCTTTAACTTCCTGACTGATGTCTTGAGATGTTGCTTCAATATATCCACATAATTTTCCTTCCTCATGATGCCATCTATTTTGTGAAGTGCATCAGTCCCTCCTGCAGCAAAGCACCCCCACAGCATGATGCTGCCACCCCCGTGCTTCACGGTTGGGATGGTGTTCTTCGGGCTTGCAAGCATCCCCATGTGCAGTTGCAAACCGTAGTCTGGCTTTTTTATGGCAGTTTTGGAGCAGTGGCTTCTTCTTTGCTGAGCGGCCTTTCAGATTATGTCGATATTGGACTCGTTTTACTGTGGATATAGATACTTTTGTACCTGTTTCCTTCAGCATCTTCACAAGGTCCTTTGCTGTTGTTCTGGGATTGATTTGCACTTTTCGCACCAAAGTACGTTCATCTCTAGGAGACAGAACGTGTCTCCTTCCTGAGCGGTATGACGGCTGTGTTGTCCCATGGTGTTTATACTTGCGTACTATTGTTTGTACAGATGAACGTGGTACCTTCAGGCATTTGGAAATTGCTCCCAAGGATGAACCAGACTTGTGGAGGTCTACAATTTTTTTTATGAGGTCTTGGCTGATTTATTTTGATTTTCCCATGATGTCAAGCAAAGAGGCACTGAGTTTGAAGGTAGGCCTTGAAATACATCCACAGGTACACCTCCAATTGACTCAAATGATGTCAATTAGCCTATCAGAAGCTTCTAAAGCCATTACATAATTTTCTGGAAATTTCCAAGCTGTTTAAAGGCACAGTCAACTTAGTGTATGTAAACGTCTGACCCACTGGAATTGTGATACAATTGTAAGTGAAATAATCTGTCTGTAAACAATTGTTGGAAAAATGACTTGTGTCATGCACAAAGTAGATGTCCTAACCGACTTGCCAAAACTATAGTTTGTTAACAAGACATTTGTGGAGTGGTTGAAAAACGAGTTTTAATGACTCCAACCTAAGTGTATGTAAACTTCCGACTTCAACTGTATTCCCTTTGTTTTAGCCATAATGCCTCATCTAAAATCCCCCTATTCCATTGGTTCTTTTAAGATTGACAATGTTTGGTAGTTGTTCATACTCACATGCAATGTCTTTTTGTTTTGGAAATACAGATGTCTTGCATTGCAGCTATAAGTTTATGAAGTGTGATATGTTTACCAGTCTACTTTATGAACAGGGTTGTGTAGGTTCCTTTCTAAATGTAATCCGTTATAGTTAGCATACTAGTTACCTGTCCAAAATTGTAATCAGTAACGTAACTTTTGTATTACCCAAACTCAGTAACGTAATGTGATTACTTTCAGTTAATTTTTGATTACTTTCCCTTTAAGAGGCATTAGAAGATGACAAAAAGGATCCATGAAACGCGTTTGGTGCGTCATCATAGTGGTCTCTGACTTGTGGTCAGACTAGACTCACTCAGGTGGAACAAACTTAAAGGTTCAATGCAGCAGTTTTTATCTCAATATTTTCTGGGTAACAATGAACAATTAAGTACTTTACTGTGATTGTTTCAAATTAAAATGGTCAAAAATAAACAAAAATAGCTTCTTAGCAAAGAGCAATTTCTCAAACAAGAATTTTGCTAGGACTGTCCGAGATTTGTTTGAGTGGGGAGGGGAAAATAGAAAATATGCTGTTATTGGCAGAGAGGTTTGGAACGCTCTTTCTTATTGGTCTATGAACATTTTAAATTTAAGTCATTTAGCAGACACTCTTATCCAGAGTGACTTACAGTAGTGCATGCATACATTTTCCATACTGGTCCCCCATGGGAATCAAACCTACAACCCTGGGGTTGTAAGCACCATGCTCTACAAACTGAGCCACATGGGAATTAGTAACTCATTTACCGTATGGTGATGTCACCATGGAAAGCCAAAACTCCCTCCCACCAAAACAGGCTGAAATTTCAGGCGGTCTTTTCAAACAGCTCTTAGACCAAAAGCGCATTATCATAATTTTCACAATTTCATTTGATTGTTCCAACCTCATAGTGTGTAAATATATATAAACCACAGGAAAATCTAGTTTTTGACTGCACTGATTACAATATTTTTACCGTTAACATAACTGATCACATTTACAGGTTTTTGTAATCATTTTACATAACCGATTACATGTAATTAGTTACTCCCCAACCCTGTAACATAGGTTTCTATCCTACACAGTCTGATCTGATGTACAGAGCCTAGCACAGCCTAAATGTGGGAAATCAGTCACTGTAGCACATTGGTGAGTTTATGGGGTAGTTATGCTCACTGTGGTGCATAGCATGATTACTGTTTTGGGAATTCCGTATCAGTTTAGGAAATGCTTTTCGTTCACGTTCGACCAAATGTATGACTTGATTTTCTGCTTAGAAAGCAGCTAAACCCTTACGGAAAAACCACGATTTCAACATTTTATTTCACATGTGAAACCATGTGTTTTTGGAACATTTCACATGTGATGAAATTTCACATGAAGTTTCATGTGATCACATAAGTCTCACATGTGCATATTTGTTTTACATTCGATTTCACAGGCGATGCCCTGCAAACAAAAATTAGTCTTTAGGATACACACACAAACAGTGTTTTCAACGTACATATTTGACACCCATGATTACATTGTGTATGTCCTCACCTTGAATTTTAACTCACAACCTCTAGGTTCACAGCATTCCGATCTTCCTGCTATGCCACAATGTCTTTCTCAATTATTGATTTCACCTGTATTCCTACACTTTGGATTTAAGTAAAGTAAATCTCAGCTTTGTTAAAAATACACTCAAGAAAAACTATTATATGTATCATAGTAATTCAGGAGTAACATTAAAACAGAATAATTAGCCCCACCAACATTAGACAACTATACATAAAACCCTCAAATTGCTGAAATAAGTAAATGAAATCAATGATGAGAGAGTAGTCAGATTAACTGATAACTAAAATATAAGTGCAGATGGAAGTATTTTGCTAAGTGGAGAGATGTATTGTCGGTAATTAATGTGTAGGGGAATGCTTCAGACTTTGTGGCGCAGCATACCCACAATCTAGAGGTTGTAAATTCTAATCCCAGGTGGGGTCATATTGCGACATCAGTACAAAGTGATCATGTCAAATGGAATCATCCTGTCATTTATTTTATTTTTGCATCAATCTTTCTCCCCAATTGGTAGTTACAGTCTTGTCCCATCGCTACATCTCCCGTACGGACTCGGGAGAGGCGAAGGTCGAGAGCCATGCATCCCCCGAAACACGACCCTACCAAGCCGCACTGCTTCTTGACACACTGCTCGCTTAACCCTGAAATCAGCCGCACCATACAACTGGCGACCGAAGTCGCATGTGCCCGCCACAAGGAGTCGCTATAGCGCGATGGGACAAGGACATCCGGCCAAACCCACCCCTAACCCGGACGACGCTGGGCCAATTGTGCACCGCCTCATGGGTCTCCTGGTCACGGCCGGCTGCGACACAGCCTGGGCTCGAACCCGGGTCTGTAGTGACGCCTCAAGCACTGCGATGCAGTGCCTTAGACCGCTGCGTCACTCGGGATGTACAGTGAGGGAAAAAAGTATTTGATCCCCTGCTGATTTTGTACGTTTGCCCACTGACAAAGACATGATCATTCTATAATTTTAATGGTAGGTTTATTTGAACAGTGAGAGACAGAATAACAACAACAAAAATCCAGAAAAACACATGTCAAAAATGTTAAAAATTGTTTTGCAAAACATGACTTAGTACTTGGTGACAAAACCCTTGGTGGCAATCACAGAGGTCAGACGTTTCTTGTAGTTGGCCACCAGGTTTGCACACATCTCAGGAGGGATTTTGTTCCACTCCTCTTTGCAGATCTTCTCCAAGTTATGAAGGTTTCAAGGCTGACGTTTGGCAACTCGAACCTTCAGCTCCCTCCACAGATTTTCTATGGGATTAAGGTCTGGAGACTGGCTAGGCCACTCCAGGACCTTAATGTGCTTCTTCTTGAGCCACTCCTTTGTTGCCTTGGCCGTGTGTTTTGGGTCATTGTCATGCTGGAATAACCATCCACGACCCATTTTCAATGCCCTGGCTGAGGGAAGGAGGTTCTCACCCAAGATTTGACAGTACATGGCCCCGTCCAATGTCCCTTTGATGCGGTGAAGTTGTCCTGTCCCCTTAGCAGAAAAACACCCCCAAAGCATTATGTTTCCACCTCCATGTTTGACGGTGGGGATGATGTTCTTGGGGTCATAGGCAGCATTCCTCCTCCTCCAAACATGGCGAGTTGAGTTGATGCCAAAGAGCTAAATTTTGGTCTCATCTGACCACAACACTTTCACCCAGTTCTCCTCTGAATCATTCAGATGTTCATTGGCAAACTTCAGACGGGCCTGTATATGTGCTTTCTTGAGCAGGGGGACCTTGCGGGCGCTGCAGGATTTCAGTCCTTCATGGCGTAGTGTGTTACCAATTGTTTTCTTGGTGACTATGGTCCCAGCTGCCTTGAGATCATTGACAAGATCCTCCCGGGTAGTTCTGGGCTGATTCCTCACCGTTCTCATGATCATTGCAACTCCACGAGGTGAGATCTTGCATGGAGCCCCAGGCCGAGGGAGATTGACAGTTCTTTTGTGTTTATTCCATTGTTGTCACCTTCTCACCAAGCTGCTTGGCGATGGTCTTGTAGCCCATTCCAGCCTTGTGTAGGTCTACAATCTTGTCCCTGACATCCTTGTAGAGCTCTTTGGTCTTGGCCAAGGTGGAGAGTTTGGAATCTGATTGATTGATTGCTTCTGTGGACAGGTGTCTTTTATACAGGTAACAAACTGATATTAGGAGCACTCCCTTTAAGAGTGTGCTCCTAATCTCAGCTCGTTACCTGTATAAAAGACACGTGGGAGCCAGAAATCTTTCTGATTGAGAGGGGGTCAAATACTTATTTCCCTCATTAAAATGCAAATCAATTTACAACATTTTTGACATGCGTTTTTTCTGCATTTTTTTGTTGTTATTCTGTCTCTCACTGTTCAAATAAACCTACCATTAATATTATAGACTGATCATTTCTTTGTCAGTGGGCAAACGTACAAAATCAGCAGGGGATCAAATACTTTTTTCCCTCCCTGTATCATACTGTCATTGATTCAAGCTTTTTACACTATTTTAGCTGAACAGCGTACCACTTAAAAAAAACCAACATATCATTTATTTCCCTTACAAAAAAACACATTTGAAAATTGTAGTTGCAATTGTGAAAATGGCAGTTTCACATGTGAAATCGCATTTTCATATGTAAAATATCTGTTTTCACATGTAAAAAGAGACACATGAGGTCAGTTGTTCACATGTGAAACCATATGTTCACATGTATTACATTTAGAGTTCACATGTTAACACCACCTTTTCACGTGAGGAGAATAACATGTTTTCACCAAATTCGATTTTCACCACGTGAAAATCTAATTTGCACCTCCAAGTGTGAAAAACCTTAATGTGAAAATCAAGTCTGCACTTTCACATATGAAATACTTTGTTGAAATTTTGCATCCCATGTTGTCTCATTTATTTCAGATGAGATCACGTTTAGTTTCATGTTGACTTGTTGCTTTGTGATCACGTTATCACTTGTAAAATTCATTAGGTTTTTCTGTAAGGGAGTGTACCAAAATATGTTTGAGAAGTTCTGAGTTTCTGTTTAGCTGTGTTAGTATTGGTTATTGATTGAGGAGTAATTTAGCAAATGGATAGTTTGCCAAGCTGTGAGGATACAGAGAGAGAGAGAGAGCTGCTTTATCAACACCGCAGTCAGGTACGGGACGGGAACACTCTCTGGGAGGGCAGGACATAGCTGGGAACAATAGACAGAGTCGGTATGCTTCCCAAGTGGCACCCTATTCCCTTTAAAGTGCACTTCTCTTGACCAGGGCCCTTGTCATAATTAGTGCACTATATAGGGAATAAGGTGCCATTTGGGACTGACCAGAGTCAATCTGAAGATGGGACACACACTGTACTACAGTGTGAGCATTATAAACTGTTGAGCTCTTAGGCTAATTATAGGCCTAGTTTCTCCATATTTTCTTTATTCCTGTGTTAGTACTGTAGTGTTGATTAAGTCGTATACTAATTATGGGATTACAGACACCTAACTGGCTGGTTGTGTTTGCTAGCTGGACTGGTGTCAGTAGAATTTAACATCTTAGCAGACCCATTACAGGGTCACTCGGGTCAATACCAACCTGACAACACATGCATGATGGCTTCCACCTGCATACAATAATAGCCTGTGAGCTCTTCACTGACTCAGTCACAATTCACCTCTCTAGTTGACTCACAGAGTTTCTCTTTGTTACCACAGAGACTGACTGACAAGGATCAGCTACATTTGCACTTTCACCTTTTACAATGTTGATACATTCATGGGTAAAAACTTGAAAAGATTGAATAGTGATACAGTTGGCACATCTGGTACAAGGTCGTAAACATGGAAGCTTGCTCATTGGAAGAGGTCAACAATGTCACAGAGCGATGCTAATGGAGCCGACAACAGATTAGAAAGTGACCTATAAAGTTAGCTATGGGACAAGCAGATGCCAATGGCATTGACCAAGCTATTCATTTTGTCCAATGTATAATTGAATATAGTGAGTACACAACTCTATGTAATTAAGAGGAAGCTGATTTATTAACTAGGGTTTCAAATTTAAAACTTCAATAGACTGCTTTGGTAAAATGTAACAATATGACTACACACAATTGGTATTTTATTAGGATCCCCATTAGCTGTTGTGAAAGCAGCAGCTACTCTTCCTCAGGTCCACACAAAACATAAAACATGACATAATACAGAACTTTAATCGACAAGAACAGAACAACATAAGTTTGATACAAATTGAGTATGCAGTGATGATGATGGTCATGTAAATTCTGTATGAACTTTCAGACGTTGTTTCACACTGCCACCAGAGAGGATTATTTCATATAACCATGGTGTCCGCCTGGAAAGTGAGCTCACTGTATTGACATTATGCAAATAGTCTTTCATGAATTCCAGAAACACATTCACATGCATCAAGACCCATTAAATCAGATTCATTTAGTATGCAAATGTTAATTATTCCCCTTATGCACATCTCAAATGTTTACATTATTCATCCTCTATTCATCTGTAACATACATTTTAGTAGACTGCATACCGTTGCTACATGGTAAAAACAGAATAACTTGGCATTCTGTACAAATATACAGACAAAGGCAATTTCCATTATGACAATGAATTCAATTTGATACATCTGTGTAACTACACTGGAAATACAATTGTCCACAATAGCATTGTCATTATCATTGCCACTTGATGAAGCCTCTACTTAACGTTGATATTTACAATGTCATAAAAACCATCTCTGCGGTTGCCAAAACTGCGATTCATAAAAAATTATGACTTATATGATGATGATGACCAAGTCGTCCCAGAGGAGCCATTTCCATTGTGACGACCTTCGGGCAACATCCAAAATCACTGTTAAAATAAAACACAAAAAAAACAGCATTGCTTCAGTCTTGAAATGTAATTGATGGGTGGGTCCTAGAGTCTGAACGTGTTTGTGTGTTTTTTATATTTTGAGTTGGATTTCTTTGGCCTCCAAGGCCTTGGTGGTAACCTCGGCTCAGAAGGCCTGCTTGCTCAGCTGGTCCCTGGGACTGGGCATTCTTCAGTAGGAATTGACTGATGAACAGCTTCAAGCCCTCCCGCAGAATTCCTAGCTTGGGAATTCCCGAAATCCTGATGAGACACAACACAATGACAGACAATGATACCAGACCTTTCACATGGTTAACCCTCAGCAGTGCAGTTTTACAGGAGAGCCAAAGGACTCTGGCCAAAGATGTTTCATGACTAGGCGAAAGGAGGAAGAATCTGACCCTGATATTTCTTCTAAACCAGGGTTCGTCAACTAGGTTTGGCCTCGGGCCAAATATTTTCTGAGCTAATAGTCGGCGGGCCAGAACATAAGTAGCATATAATATTAGCACAACTAATTGGCCTACACTACAAATTGAACACCATTTTAAACATCTGATTAGCACATAATAGATTCAGTGAAAATAACAATACATTTTATTTGATTATGCTCATAGAATCACCAATGTCTCTATTCAATTATTATTTTTGTCTATTTCTCTGTGCATTGATTGGTGGGGGAAAAACAGGTCTACGTAGCCAACTGTAGGCTACACTAGTTTTTTTAATGTCAACATTCGTTCAGAACAATTAGCTTGATAGCAAGAGAAAATGTCGCTCTCAAAAAGTATCAAAAGAAAGGTGGATAATGAAAATCGAAGTTTCAGGGAAGAATGGACAGAGATATGCCTTCATCCTACCACCTTTTCCCAATGCCAAGCCAGCGTGTCTTATTTGCAATGAAAATGTCGCTGTTTACAAAGAATTCAATCTCAGACGTCATTATGAATCTAAGCATGGAACTTTTGAAGTGGCCTTCTCGCCCCAGACAGAGGCCTGACACAGAAACATTGAAGCGTTAACTGCAAGCTACATACACAGCTTTTTTGGCAGACATATTCTGTCACTTAAACATGTTACAAGGAAGAGGGAAAAAAGTGGACATGGTGGAAAATCTTTAGTGTGCTGAAGGCAACTGCACTTCAGCACACTAAAGAAAGGACAGGCAGAGGGACCAGGCCGCAGCATTGTCACAGAGATGATGGAAGATTTCATCAAGCAGCTGAGGGACAACTTCTCCACTAGATTTGAAGACTACAGCATGGCGAAGGATATCATTGAGTTTGTACGTGATCCTCTCACAGTCCGGCCAGGTGGAGAATTATCTTCCCTTGCTAAGAAAACGATACCCTCGCTGGATGAGGCCGCAATTCAAACTGAGTTGATTGAATTCCAGACATCTAGCCAAATCAGGGATGCGCTCAGGAGTGCCAAATCCTTGTGTGCGGTTTGGTTGGCATGCTCAGAGGAATACAGCACAATAAAGAAACTTGCATTTTATGTGCTAACAATGTTTGGATCGACTTACACCTGCGAGTCCTCATTTTCCTCTATGAACGCAATATAGACTCACGACAGGAACCGGTTTTCACCTAGGTCAGAGTGCCTGCGCATTAAAATCACATCCATCTCACCCGACATCCACAAGATCGTGTCCGATTAAGTAACTTAGTGGCCTATATGACTGTATTTAGTAAATACTAACATTATTGTGAGTGCTTTTCCAGGAATATTTAGGTCTCAAGCTGACAGTATTTTCTGTTTGTTCTGTCGTTACAGGAGCGGGCTATACAGACATTCACACACAGACATTGTCTTTTTTTCTTTAAATGATTGTTTTATGTAGGATGCTACATTTTTGGCCAGTTGCAATTGTATATAGGCTTAATTAAAAAAAATCCCACTTCTATTCGGCCATATACAGAGGGGAGAACAAGTATTTGATACACTGCCGATTTTGCAGGTTTTCCTACTTACAAAGCATGTAGAGGTCTGTAATTTTTATGATAGGTACACTTCAACTGTGAGAGATGGAATCTAAAACAAAAATCCAGAAAATCACATTGTATGATTTTTAAGTAATTAATTTGCATTTTATTGCATGACATAAGTATTTGATCACCTACCAACCAGTAAGAATTCCGGCTCTCACAGACCTGTACGTTTTTCTTTAAGAAGCCCTCCTGTTCTCCACTCATTACCTGTATTAACTGCACCTGTTTGAACTCATTACCTGTATAAAAGACACCTGTCCACACACTCAATCAAACAGACTCCAACCTCTCCACAATGGCCAAGACCAGAGAGCTGTGTAAGGACATTAGGGATAAAATTGTAGACTTGCACAAGGCTGGGATGGGCTACAGGACAATAGGCAAGCAGCTTGGTGAGAAGGTAACAACTGTTGGCACAATTATTAGAAAATGGAAGAAGTTCAAGATGACGGTCAATCACCCTCGGCCTGGGGCTCCATGCAAGATCTCACCTCGTGGGGCATCAATGATCATGAGGAAGGTGAGGGATCAGCCCAGAACTACACGGCAGGACCTGGTCAATGACCTGAAGAGAGCTGGGACCACAGTCTCAAAGCAAACCATTAGTAACACACTACGCCGTCATGGATTAAAATCCTGCAGCGCACGCAAGGTCCCCCTGCTCAAGCCAGCGCATGTCCAGGCCCGTCTGAAGTTTGCCAATGACCATCTGGATGATCCAGAGGAGGAATGGGAGAAGGTCATGTGGTCTGATGAGACAAAAATTTAGCTTTTTGGTCTAAACTCCACTCGCCGTGTTTGGAGGAAGAAGAAGGATGAGTACAACCCCAAGAACACCATCCCAACCGTGAAGCATGGAGGTGGAAACATCATTCTTTGGTGATGCTTTTCTGCAAAGTGGACAAGACGACTGCACCGTATTGAGGGGAGGATGGATGGGGCCATGTATCGCGAGATCTTGGCAAACAACCTCCTTCCCTCAGTAAGAGCATTGAAGATGGGTCGTGGCTGGGTCTTCCAGCATGACAACGACCCGAAACACACAGCCAGGGCAACTAAGGAGTGGCTCCGTAAGAAGCATCTCAAGGTCCTGGAGTGGCCTAGCCAGTCTCCAGACCTGAACCCAATAGAAAATCTTTGGAGGGAGCTGAAAGTCTGTATTGCCCAGCGACAGCCCCGAAACCTGAAGGATCTGGAGAAGGTCTGTATGGAGGAGTGGGCCAAAATCCCTGCTGCAGTGTGTGCAAACCTGGTCAAGACCTACAGGAAACGTATGATCTCTTTAATTGCAAACAAAGGTTTCTGTACCAAATATTAAGTTCTGCTTTTCTGATGTATCAAATACTTATGTCATGCAATAAAATGCAAATTATTTACTTAAAAATCATACAATGTGATTTTCTGGATTTTTGTTTTAGATTCCGTCTCTCACAGTTGAAGTGTACCTATGATAAAAATGACAGACCTCTACATGCTTTGTAAGTAGGAAAACCAGCAAAATCGGCAGTGTATCAAATACTTGTTCTCCCCACTGTATAGGCCTAGGCTCTGAAGAAATACACTCCAATTAAACCCTCTTGTTGTTTGTAAAGTCAAATTAAAATGAAGATTATTGTTGAAGTGAATTACTTGACTGGTGTAGTTTTTCTCCATGTTGATGTGCGCTACTTGCATAAGAAGTTAGCTATATTTTCAGCACCAGGCGCTGTTCACCTCCTATTGATTGCACTGCGGTTGCAGCTTTACGTTTCAGCACCACAAAATGGTCCACTGCCTGCTTTATTAGTTGACTGTCTCCTGCATTCTCTCTCCTCATGAATTAAGTTCAAATGTAGCTTTTGCATTATTTAGGTGGGGTAACTTCCTTCTTGGGACACTGCATTTGGGACATTTTGCATCTCGGGCCCTAGATTTTTAAAATATTATTATTTTTTAAATGGAAACAATTATTCATAATAATTTGGGGGACTTTGGGTTGCCAAATAACATTGCTGGCGGGCCATATTTGGCCCGCGGGCCGCCAGTTGTACATGATAAAAAGCTCAATTGGTAGAGCATGGTGCTTGTAACGCCAGGGTAGTGGGTTCGATCCCCGGGACCACCCATACGTAAAAATGTATGCACACAAGACTGTAAGTCGCTTTGGATAAAAGCGTTTTGATTTTGGCTAGGCTATTTTGAAGCAAGGTAAGAAATACCTCATAATATGAAGTAAAACGTTCAGGTTTCAGGTTGAAAATGCATAGGCCTGCCGCCTGCAGCTCAGATTGCAAAGTGGAAGGTGATGCGCTGATAGCCTGCCTACCGCTGCCTATGCACTTGAGTGGCGAATGGAGGCGTGCTTCAATTACCAGCTGAGAAATAGTAGCAATAGAAAGCTGGGATCCTCCTCTATTTAATTGTGGCCATCAAAACTCTGTTTTTAACACGTGCTTGCATTTAGAATTGTTGCGCAATGACTGGGGTTATAAAAGCATTTCACTCCAGTAGCAACCAGCTGTTTGAGGAGCTTTCGCTTTCCAACAGATGATATTTAGCTCAAACTAGGCTCCGTATACTGTGCGCGTGTAATAAATAATATATACGACAACTAACGATAAAATACACATGCGCCAATTTAATTCCACAAAATTATGCAAATTAACCTATAGACCGATAAGCATGACAGGTCAAATGTAGGTTACCCGCTAACCTCCCTACTATGGAGCAATTATGAACCATTCTAATGTCTGTGCCTGTATTCATAAAGCGTCTTTGTCCATGTAATCTTACTCATTATGATCTAAAAGACTAAACTGATCTTAGATCAGCACTCAGAGGACTTCTCTCCCAGTCCAGCATAGAAGGCATTGAATCTCTTCTCCTGGAGGCAACCATCCATCAGCACGTGGATGATCTACCTCTCCTGCTGGTCCTTTAGCCCCAGCCTGCACACAGAAAATAATGTAGTGTCACATCCTGAAACTTGTGACAACGACTAGCTTGGCATGAGAGCATTTCAGTAGTGCAGAAGGGGTTGGGATACAAAACACAACGTATCAGCTTCTCAAAGGCATCCAGGTAATCCTCGCTGGTCATTATGACGCAGAAGATATTTATCCTGATGTCTGTGTTCATTCTCTGTTTCCAGGCCAGGTCTAAGACCTTTTAGCTGAACTGAGTAGACAGATGAAGGGAAAATGCTATTATGATCAGTACAACACATTGAACATTTTGTCGAGTTCAGAATTGCAACTCAAATGCAGTGATATGCAGTCAGGGTAGGCAGTGCGTACCTTATGATAATCTAATAACAAAAGCCAAACAAAAAATAAAATGAAATAACAAAAAAAGAATGACAATTTGTTGTATAAGGTTTTTTTCTCAATGATTCTGGTGGTTTTTATGCTCAAAATCTCTACATTTGCTAAAACTGCATCAAAACCTCAGGAAAGGTGCCAGGGTATCCATGCCTTCCTTCCCATCCATTCCAATTGTTGACGAGCCCGGCCGTTCCTGACTCCAGTCACTGTTTGGACAGGGTCAGCATAGGCCTTGCTGGTTTGCCTAGCTCCATTCGTTACATTGAGACAATTTCATATTTTGCGGATGCGTATTGCCTAAAAATATTGTGTGGGTAAGCTCTGCACATTTGAGCATGTCTACATAGTTTGGCGCTTGCATCCCTTGAACTGAACGAAGCTAGCTAGCTAGCAAAAACAACCTGACAAATGGATCTCAAACAATTTTCCATGTTGGATTTCCAAGGAAAACTTGGTATAATTCAGAGGTAGACTAACACCTGAGCTTCCTGACCTTCATCAGAGGAAGGGACAGAATATCATGTGATCAAATGCACCACACTCGGCCTGACAGACACAGCAACCCTGAGCAGACGGCCGATCAGAGATGAGAGGAGACCAATGTTTTACAACATTTTGGAAAATATCAGTGTTCAAATGAAAACCAGGTTTGATCATTTTGTCATACTTGGCCCTAAAGTGCTGTCACCGAGAGGTTCACTCTAAAGGACAGACGAATGGACTTAATTTACAAGTAAAGGTAGGCCTAAATGCATTATCCTTTGCAATTTGCGGGTTAGGCCACTGTTGAATGAACATGAGAATAGAGAACATCCATTTGATTTATCAAGAGAGAATACAATTGTATTTATCAAGCGAGAATTTCGTTTTGATTAGACACTTTTTTGATGTTTTGAACTGCATTTTTCTGTCATTTCTATTGTTGATATGGACATTTCTTTAGAACCTTAATTATTATATATGTGTGTGTAATAATATTTCACATAATATTATTATTATTATCATTATTATTATTAGTGTGTACGTGCGCACAGTGCATTGGAAGAATTGTAAATCCATTGTGAAAGGCTATGGAGTTTGCGTTGCAGAAATAGCCACTCATCACAATTCATTTTTGAACATTTAAGTACACTACTAATCACAAGATGCAGATTATTTACCTGGTATGGTGCAGATGACACACATTTGCTATAACTGATTAATTTATGAAGCGTCATAGCTGTCTGTTAAAACTGAAAGTGTAGCCTCTGGATAAGATTCCAGACATCCACAGCATTCTTTTCATTCTTGCAGGAACTGCTATTTTCTATCCTCAGTTATTGTATCACCAATGACCCAGTGATGTGCAGGCAGTGCTTACCCTGTGATAATCTAATAAAAAAAGATGTTATGAAAAGCCACAAAGAAATACATGTAAATCGTTTTTTGTTATCTAATGTTTTTTCTCAATGAATCTGGTGGTTTTTATATTCAAATAATTGTTTGAGCTAAAACCTCAGGAAAGGTCATGGTCATGCCTTTCTTCCCATACATTCAAATCATTGACGCGGATGGCCATTCCTGACTTCAGTGACTGTTAATGGACAGAGACAGCATAGGCCTTCCTGCTTTGCCTAGCTTCAATCGTTGCATTGAGATGATTTCATATTTTGCACATGCGTATTGCCTAAACATGTTGTGTGGTAAGCTCTGCACATTTGGGCGGGTCTACATAATTTGGCGCTCTCATCCCTTTAACTGAACAAAGTTAGCTAGCTAGCTAGCTAGCAAAAACAAACTGGGTAAATGGACCTCCTTCACTCATAGCGGTGGGAAGTAGTGGTGCTGAGGGTCCTGCAGCACCCCCTGATGAATCAAAATTTAAAATAATATATATACACTACCAGTCAAAAGTTTGGACACATCTACTAATTCAAAGTGTTTTCTTTATTTTTACTATTTTCTACATTGTAGAATAATAGTGAAGACATCAAAACTATGAAATAACACATATGGAATCATGTAGTAAACAATAGTCTTAAACAAATCAAAATATGTTATATTTGAGATTCTTCAAATAGCCACCCTTTGCCTTGATGACAGCTTTGCACACTCCTTTGCATTCTCTCAACAAGCTTCATGAGGTAGTCACCTGGAATGCATTTCAATTAACAGGTGTGCCTTGTTAAAAGTTAATTTGTGGAATTTCTTTCCTTCTTAATGCGTTTGAGCCAATCAGTTGGGTTGTGACAAGGTAGGGGGGGTATACAGAAGATAGCCCTATTTGGTAAAAGACCAAGTCCATATTATGGCAAGAACAGCTCAAATAAGCAAAGAGAAACGACAGTCCATCATTACTTTAAGACATGAAGGTCAGTCAGTACAGAACACTTCAAGAACTTTGAAAGTTTCTTCAAGTGCAGTTGCAAAAACCATCAAGCGCTATGATGAAACTGGCTCTCATGAGGACCGCCACAGGAAAGGAAGACCCAGTTACCGCTGCTGCAGAGGATAAGTTCATTAGAGTTACAAGCCTCAGAAATTGCAGCCTAAATAAATGCTTCACAGAGTTCAAGTAACAGACATCTCAAAATCAACTGATCAGAGGAGACTGCGTGAATCAGGCCTTCATGGTCGAATTGCTGCAAAGAAACCACTACTAAAGGACACCAATAAGAAGAAACTTGCTTGGGCCAAGAAACACGAGCAATGGACATTAGACCGGTGGAAATCTGTCCTTTGGTCTGATGAGTCTTTGTGAGACGCAGAGTAGGTCAACGGATGATCTCCGCATGTGTGGTTCCCACCATTAAGCATGGAGGAGGTGGTGTGATGGTACTTTGCTGGTGACACTGTCTGTGATTGAATTAAAATTCAAGGCACACTTAACCAGCATGGCTACCACAGCATTCTGTAGCGATACGCCATCCCATCTGGTTTGCGCATAGTGGGACTATCATTTGTTATTCAACAGGACAATGACCCAACACACCTCCAGGCTGTGTAAGGGTTATTTGACCAAGAAGGAGAGTGATGGAGTGCTGCATCAGATGACCTGGCCTCCACAATCACCCGACCTCAACCCAATTGAGATGGTTTGGGATGAGTTGGACTGCAGAGTGAAGGAAAAGCAGCCAACAAGTGCTCAGCATATGTGGGAACTCCTTCAAGACTGTTGGAAAAGCATTCCAGGTGAAGATGGTTGAGAGAATGCCAAGAGTGTGCAAAGCTGTCATCAAGGCAAAGGGTGGCAAACTTTGAAGAATCTAAAATCTAAAATATACACTGCTCAAAAAAATAAAGAGAACACTAAAATAACACATCCTAGATCTGAATGAATGAAATAATCTTATTAAATACTTTTTTCTTTACATAGTTGAATGTGCTGACATCAAAATCACACAAAAATTATCAATGGAAATCAAATGTATCAACCCATGGAGGTCTGGATTTGGAGTCACCCTCAAAATTAAAGTGGAAAACCACACTACAGGCTGATCCAACTTTGATGTAATGTCCTTAAAACAAGTCAAAATGAGGCTCAGTAGTGTGTGTGGCCTCCACGTGCCTGTATGACCTCCCTACAATGCCTGGGCATGCTCCTGATGAGGTGGCGGATGGTCTCCTGAGGGATCTCCTCCCAGACCTGGACTAAAGCATCCGCCAACTCCTGGACAGTCTGTGGTGCAACGTGGCGTTGGTGGATGGAGCGAGACATGATGTCCCAGATGTGCTCAATTGGATTCAGGTCTGGGGAACGGGCGGGCCAGTCCATAGCATCAATGCCTTCCTCTTGCAGGAACTGCTGACACACTCCAGCCACATGAGGTCTAGCATCGTCTTGCATTAGGAGGAACCCAGGGCCAACCGCACCAGCATATGGTCTCACAAGGGGTCTGAGGATCTCATCTCGGTACCTAATGGCAGTCAGGCTCTGGCAGTGCTCCTCCTGCTCCTCCTTGCACAAAGGCGGAGGTAGCAGTCCTGCTGCTGGGTTGTTGCCCTCCTACGGCCTCCTCCACGTCTCCTGATGTACTGGCCTGTCTCCTGGTAGCGCCTCCATGCTCTGGACACTACGCTGACAGACACAGCAAACCTTCTTGCCACAGCTCGCATTGATGTGCCATCCTGGATGAGCTGCACTACCTGAGCCACTTGTGTGGGTTGTAGACTCCGTCTCATGCTACCACTAGAGTGAAAGCACCGCCAGCATTCAAAAGTGACCAAAACATCAGCCAGGAAGCATAGGAACTGAGAAGTGGTCTGTGGTCACCACCTGCAAAACCAGTCCTTTATTGGGGGTGTCTTGCTAATTGCCTATAATTTCCACCTGTTGTCTATTCCATTTGCACAACAGCATGTGAAATGTATTGTCAATCAGTGTTGCTTCCTAAGTGGACAGTTTGATTTCACAGAAGTGTGATTGACTTGGAGTTACATTGTGTTGTTTAAGTGTTCCCTTAATTTTTTTTGAGCAGTGTATTTTGATTTGTTTAACACCTTTTTGGTTACTACATAATTCCATATGTGTTATTTCATAGTTTTGATGTCTTCACTATTATTCTACAATGTAGAAAATAATCAAAATAAAGAAAAACTTTACTCGGCAGGTAGCTTAGCGGTTAAGAGCGTTGTGCCAGTAACCGAAAGGTCACTGGTTCTAATCCCCGAGCTGACTAGGTGAAAAAGCTGCCGATGTGCCCTTGAGCAAGGCACTTAACCCTAATTGCTTCTGTAAGTCGCTCTGGATAAGAGCGTCTGCTAAATTACCAATTTATTTATTATTTATTTATTTATTTAAAAACCCTTGAATGAGTAGGTGTGTCCAAACTTTTGACTGGTATTGTATATTTCTTATGACTTTTGGGAGCATTTCTTCCCCCCACCAAATTAGTGCACTAGGCCTTTATTACTCCTGTACGAGCGGAGCGGAGCAAAATCCGTTAGACAAACAATTTCAGTACCCCACCGCAAAACATCTTCCCGTGGCCATGCCTTCACTTTACCTCAAACAATTTTCCAAGTTGGATTTCCAAGGAAAACTTGGTATAATTCAGATGGAGACCAACACCTGAGCTTCCTGACCATCAGAGGAAGGGACAGAAAATCATCCGATCGAATGTACCACACTCGGCCTGACAGACACAGCATCCCGGAGCACACAACTGATCAGAGATGAGAGGAAAGTTTTACAACATTTTGGACAATTTCAGTGTTAAAATAAAACCCAGGTTTGATCATTTTGTCATCCTCGGTCCTACAGCGCTGTCACAGAGATTCACCCTGAAGGACAGATGAATGGACTTAATTTACAAGTAAATGCATTTTCCTTTGCAATTTGCGGTTTAGGCTACTGTTGAATGAACATGAGAATAGACAACATCCCTTTGATGCATTTCATTTATCAAGTTAGAATTTTGTTTTGATGAGACACTTTTCAGTCATTTCAAATGTTGATATGGGATTTTCTTCAGAACCGTATTTATTACATATGTGTGTAATAATATTTCACATATTAATATTATCGTGTGTGTTTGCGTTTGCGCATTCCATGGGCTGTGCATTGGAAGAATTGTAAATCCATTGTGAAAGGTTATGGAGTTTGCGTTGCAAACTATTTGGATGAAATGTAACTGTGGATGCTACATCGGTCTATGGCCGAGCTGAGTTGAGCAGTGTGCCATTTTGTCGGATGATATGAAACATGTCGCCATCGGAAGATATCGCTTTTGTATCTTGGCTACATTGGTTTTTACATTTGGTGAAAATTGTTTGTCAATTTCGGTTAATAGCCTATGTCACTCTGGTTGTTGGAGCTATCTGTTGTATGGTGAACTTGGCCTTCATCAAGGTTTATTTGTGAGTAAATCTGGCTTTGACAATAGCCAGTGTCTACCCAGCCACCGAGCTCACCGCACGTCACTGCTCAAATGTTCATATGAAAGAGCTGCAGTAATGATTTGGTGGAACACCAGGGGCCATATGTATCAAGCATCTCTGAATAAGAGTGCTAATCTACGATCAGGTCCCCCCTGTCCATATAATCTTATTCAGTTTGAATCAGCACGCCTACTCTGAGACACCTGATGCATACGGCCCCAGATCTTTTAGGGTTCTAGTACCTCTCCATCTGCAGTTGTCTGTTTGACGATGAGCACACAATCCACCAGCGGCCCACCTGCTCTGCAGCCAGGAGGTTCTCCAGAGAGACCCTCAGCTTCACATCACTGCCCCCTGAACTCTGGTGGATCTGAACACAACAGCTAAAACTCATTATTCACATAACGCTCCAGGGTGAAGTTTTCCCTAATTACAGATCTAGGCACAGCTTCCCCTTCCCCTTCCACAATCCCAAATATAAGTGGGGTAAATGCTAAACTGACCCAAGATCAGTGTCTAGGGGCAACCTCACCCTACTCCTTCACACTCCCCTCATCTGGGTGCTCAAACCTATAACATAAACTGCTATGTGAGATTATAGTGCCCCCTGGCGGCAAGTGATATATTCTTGTGGTTGAAACATCAACAATGGAAGAATATTTCATGGCTGAGCAAAGAATGGTTTGAGGTTATGATATGACAGTTGTACTACATTTGTTAGTAAGTATTAAATTAATCAGATCCATAACCCACCAGAGTTCTTTGTAGCTTTCGGAGTCTCTCAACAGGCTCTGGGTCATAGCCTGGGATCTTCCTCATATCGTTGTTCTTCAGAGCCAACATGGTCTCCAGCATGAATCGCACCTAAAGATAGAAAAGATATTCAGAAGAGAGTTGGCTTGTTATTCATTTACGACTGCTACTTTGACTGCTAATTAATGCTAATTGCGAGTTGCTCTTGATAAGAGCTGCTAAATGAGCAAAATGTAAATGTAAAACGACCATGTTCGAAAGTGTTACCACCAATTAGGTGCATTTCAGAGTATAGATAGAGGGTGATGTTGAGAGTGGTGTTGTGTGGTAGCTGTGACAAACCGTACCCTGTTTTCATCCTGAAACTTGGTGCCCACACCGCTGGCCTTGCGCTGGGCCTCAGAGATGAGCTCTTTCAGCGCCAGGGCATCATCCTTCCACAGGGCGAAGCCTACATTCTTCAACAGGAACAGAACTAGCTCAATGTCCTTCTCGGTGAAGGCCCCCACCAGCATCTTCAGGATGTCAAAGATGAGGAGGGCATGCACCACCTGGAAGTTGTAGAGATGTGCCACCATGGCCACCAGGTTGTCACACTCCTTGCCTTCAATGGTACATTGTGTCAAAGAACAGAAAATAAAGCAAAAAATAAAAAAATTAAGCAAGTCATTGGAACCTTGAATTAATGGAGAGTATGTGAATGTGGGGGGTAGCTTATAAAGGAACTGGAGACAAGTCACACTGAGCACGTAAATCAAACAAACCACAAGCTAATGATCATTCACAGGTTAATGGTTACTCCTTTTCTCACACAGACTGTGTTGTTCCAAAATACTATTTTCTTCTTTCTACATTTACATCATTTAGCAGACGCTCTTATCCAGAGCGACTTACAAATTGGTGCATTCAACTTATGATAGCAAGTGGGACAACCACTTTTTCTTCTTCTTTTCTTTTTTATGGGGGGGGGGGGGGGGGGGGGTAGAAGGATGACTTTATACTATTCCAGGTATTCTTTAAAGAGAGGTAGGGTTTCAAGTGTCTCCGGAAGGTGGTCAGTGACTCCGCTGTCCTGGCGTCGTGGGGGAGCTTGTTCCACCATTGGGGTGCCAGAGCAGCAAATAGCTTTGACTGGGCTGAGCGGGAACTGTGCTTCTGTAGAGGTAGGGGAGCTAGCAGGCCAGAGGTGGATGAACGTAGTGCCCTCGTTTGGGTGTAGGGTCTGATCAGAGCCTGAAGGTAAGGAGGTGCTGTTCCCCTCACAGCTCCGTAGGCAAGCACCATGGTCTTGTAGTAGATGCAAGCCTCAACTGGAAGCCAGTGGAGTGTGCGGAGGAGCAGGGTGACGAGAGAACTTGGGAAGGTCGAACACCAGACGGGCTGCGGCGTTCTGTGCTCTTATCAGAGGAGCATACAGGGGTGAACTAAAGGTCAACTAAAAGTCACCAAGAGAGAACAGAGTTCTAGACAATTACACCTCTACAAATCCATTAGGATTCAATCGTAATTCTTAGTTGATTGTGACAAGCTAGCTCCCTCACTTATAAAATATGTCTGCATCCCAAATGTCACCTTATTCCCTCTATAGTGCTATATTATTGACCAGGGCCCACAGGGCTCAATTCTGTTGATGAGGTTTGAACCTACCTCAAGCCCCACTGTGTGATGCAGGATACTGACAAGCAGGACGTGTTCCATGAGCAGTCTGTCAGGCATCAGGGCTGGGGTGACGCGGGCTGCCAGGAGGATCTCTGTCAGGGTGTCATTCATGTTCTTCCGGCTGGAGCTCATGTACAGCCCCTCCAGCTGGCCACTGATGGACGCGGTGTTGGCCTCACTGAGCCTACGGAGGAAAATGCAGAACAGGACAATGACGTTTGAACTAAGATGGACGCCAAAACATCAGTGCTGATTTAGGATCAGTTCTGCCTTTTGGATCACAATTAATATGATTACATGGACAGGGGGGGACCTGATCTTAGATCAGCATTCCTACTCTGAGATGCTTGATACATACATACGGACCCCGAGCATCCCTAGCACCATAACATGAACTGATGTTTTGATATCTGATCAAAAACATGTCCTCTTTGCTTGATCAAAGGTGACAAATCCAGTCGACACTCAACAGAAGAGGGTCAAGGAACAAAGCATGTAGAGTAATCAAGATAAAAACCATTAGGACGGTGTCTTTCTTTCCTTTCATCTTTGCAACAGAGATTACTATCGTTAACTACTTAGCTATGATTTTATTGTTACTTGACGAAAGACACTGACTTTTATAATTACATTCCTCTACCGAGTTTCAAGCTTACATTTACATTTTAGTCATTTAGCAGACGCTCTTATCCAGAGCTTACAGGAGCTTGGCAAGAAGCAAACGCCTGTTTATGAAGCAAAAAAGTTTGTCTATGAAGAAAAAGGCTACCTATCACCTAGTTAAGTGAAATAACCTCTACCGTCGTTACTTCGAAACACTTGAAATAGTTGATCAAAACTATCATAAAACGTCAAATTATTAGACACATGTATCTTCATGAGGCCAGCCATTGTTGTTAATAAACGACCCAGGAAACACATGTGCTGCAAAAAAATAAAACCAGAAACAGCTTCCGGGTCATTATTTTTGTCATGTATTTTTGGTCATCACTAGTTACCACAGCCACAAAGTCAGAATGATGGCTAAACCCCGCCTATTCTACAATGTAGCTTCTTAAAATTGGATTTTAAACGTATCCCTAATCTTGACCACACTGCTAACCTTATACCCAACCCTAACCTTAAATTAAGACAACCATTTTTGTGTGTTTTCATGAATTTTTACGATATACGATATAGGCTAACAGTGTGGTTAAGGTTAGTGTTAAAGTTAGGTTTAAATATTTTTTTCAGAAGAGAAATTGTAGAAATGGGCGGAGTTTAGCCATAATTAGGACTTTGTAGCTGTGTTAACTAGTAACGATCCATTCAGTGGGTTTGGATGGAGCCTGAATTACCGTTCTCCTAGCAGTAGGATATTATGCTGGCAGCACGATCGCGGATAAAAAAATAAAAAATAAGAGCCCCCTGCAAAGACATGCTAAGCTTTGCGAATATCGATTTTTTTTTTTGCACTCTACAACTGTTTTTCACAGCATTGTAATAACCAGCTTTGAAAAACTAAATTGATAATTTCACGTATTTTCTTTTTTTTATATTGTATTATTTATACCAGCATTTATTTTGAAAGTTTACACAAATACTGCTATGTTGAAAGCTATTGTGTAGGCTATATTTAAAGAAATACACTTTTAATAAAATACAAATATATGTTATTGGAATTACTCAATATAGTCTGCAAAAATGTAATGGGTCTCTTGTGCTGGGCAACGAGTTTAATAAAGAGTACTTGTGACTCCTTACTCCACCCACTCCATTCACAGCAATGCAATAGACAATATTTGGCACTTTAGAGATAACGTTTTTCTACCTGTCTCAGCTAAGGTCGGGTGGAAAATACCCAGTAGGGTCTCTACTAACCAAATATGTGTAGTTTTGGAGGGGGACTGTGTGGTACATATCCAGCAACACAGCTTTAAATGACCTGGTGCTACCCCATGGTCCTAAAATCAATACACACTCAACAACAATAAAAAGGAAACACAAATGCCAAACTTTTTAATCAAAACGAAATCTAATTTATTTACAAGTTAAATGTAATGAATATTAACCAGTATAATCACACTTTCTGAACAGCAATGGAGAACATTATTTACAAGTTATAGGCCTTTATGTGTTGCTTTTCTATCAAGGTTAGCAGTATAGCAGTATACTGTGAAGGCAAGGTGACTGGGAATATGGTCGGATACAAACAGTGTAGTTATTCCCTCCGTAAGGCAATCAAATAGGCAAAACGTCAGTACAGAGACAAAGTGGAGTCGCAATTCAACCGCTCAGACACGAGAGATATGTGGCAGGGTCTACAGACAATCACTGATTACAAAGGGGAAACCAGCCACGTCGTGGACACCGACGTCTTGCGCCGGACAAGCTAAACACCTTCTTCGCCCGCTTTGAGGATACCACAATGACACCGACAGCGCCCGCTTCCAAGGACTTTGGGCTCTCGTTCTCTGTGGCCGACTTGAGTATGACATTTAAGCGTGTTAGGCTGCCATGACAGACCGCATCCCTAGCGGTGTACTCAGAGCATGCGCAGACCAGCTGGCTGGAGTGTTAACAGACATATTCAATCTCTCCCTATCCCAGTCTGCTGTCGCCACTTGCTTCAAGATGTCCACCATTGTTCCTGTACCCAAGAAAGAAAAGGTAACTGAACTAAATGACTATCACCCCGTAGCACTCACTTCTGTCATCATGAAGTGCTTTGAGAGGCTGGTTAAGGATCATATTACCTCTACCTTACCTGACACCCTAGACCCACTTCAATTTGCATACCGCCCCAATAGATCCACAGAGGATGCAATCGCCATTGCACTGCACACTGCCCTATTCCATCTGGACAAGAGGAATACCTATGTAAGAATGCTGTTCATTGACTATAGCTCAGCCTTCAACACCATAGTACCCTTGTTAGAAATTGCGTAATTCAAATCTGGTATTGGAATAAGAATCAAGAGATCTTCAATCCAAGCTTAATTTATTATATGCAAAATGTATGTATGATAAGTATGAAGGTTCGTATATACGGGTCCACTGAAATACCACGCAGGGCACTCAGAGAACTAAACTATTGTTTACAGGTTCTTTCTCAAATACTCTGACAGAAAGCCTCCACCTCTTCTGTTGGCCAACCAGAGCAAAGGACTGAGTGTGGTCCAGACTCCACTCAGCCAATCCGTTGGTGCACGGGTTAGTCCCACACCTCGGCACTCCATTTGTTGCACACTGTTGCCAGGCATAAGTTGCTATCATAATAACCTGCGGAGTCAGCACCCAAAAGACACCATTCCACTGTACTCCATGTACCCACGTTCAAGGACGGTTTCACAGACAACAAAGAGAGAGTGTTCGTATCTGTGAGAAATACAAGTCTTATCTCATCCTAGCCCCTAACGTTCCCCACATGAATCACAGCCTGCTATGTGAAACAATCCATATCAGTACAGTTCAAACCTATGCTCCTCATTAATGCATTCCTTCCAAGCTATTCATCACATACAGATCCAATTATGAGAAAAATAGAACCCAACAATCCCCCTTTTGATGCCCTCTAGGGTGTCACTCATTAAAATACAATACAAACAAAAATAAACACTTTTATTAATAGACAATTTGATAATAAAAGGCCTTCAGTCCTTCCATCTACACCAAACTTGCAAACGGTTGGCTACAAGTCACCCAGGCACTTCAAACCTTCACATAAGGAAAGACAAACATCCACAATGGTTAGCTTGATTAATAAAGCATAAAACACAGGATTAATAGAACACAAAACATAAGATTATTAAAAGATAAAACACCAACAGGGAAGTACATTTTGGCCCCCTTTAGACACCCTCTAGAGTGTCACTCCACCAAGCCTGGTAGGTCATATCCTTCATTCCTTAGGTCGGAGTCCGGGATTGGGCCGTATCTCACCATCTGTTGGGAAACCACCTTCTCCATCTCCTTTTCTCACCAACCCTCAGACACAGGGAATAAGACAACATCCACAAAGAACAAGTATACCCATAGAAGCTATAACTTCACCCAGAATAGTTACAATAATAGTTTTCCATTTACCAAATATGTTATCAAACCAACCGTTTATGGAGCTATCAATACCAGAGTTCTCAACCAGTTCGTTCGCCAGCGTGGTGATGGTCACTCAAGCGCTTTGGTCACGGACCTGTCCGGTGCTGTGTTGTTTGGGGATGAAAGTACAGCACATAGATCCAAACAGAACACAAACCCCGTCCCGCTCAGCCACAAGCATATCTAAAGCTATTCTATTCTGCCATGTCATTAAGCTAGTTGCCGCTGTCTGCTCAGCTAATCCCTTTATTGCATCACGAGTGTGGTTTATAAATCTTTATAATTTATCCAATCTACGTTTTTATTAATTGTTGACCACCAGAAAATACTTAATTCAAACCCAGCTGCGATCTGATTCCTAGCTTTGAATTGTTCTGGAACCCCTCGAGGTACTCCTATCCCATCAATATATATATCCTTTCATCAAAGGATCCCGGGAGGAGGTCCTACTTTCTATGTGACAACTCACCAGTCTCTGACACGTTTGATTGTTTACATATATAGGTGAGTTCACAATCAGTTATCACCACACAACCATCAGATGTCAGCACGGGCCTGGTTTTGGTTCCTAAAATCCTCTGGCTGCAACAAAGAGGAGAGATTAGTCATGGTCTCTTTTAGTTGTGACATTCTCTGTGTGGGAGCAGGAGCTAAGAGGCCCTACCCTGTATCCTATCTTACTAGTCCTAGAAAAACAATTAGAATCCCCTGTGATTTCAAACTGAGGCAACCCAGGTCGGGATGACTTTGTTATCGGGGGAAACAGATAGTGCAAGTTACCATAAGACTCTTTTACCACATTCCCAGGTGGCTTGCATGGAGGATAAACCTGACAGAGAGTCAAAGCCTGTCAAGGGGAACGGAGTAGTTGTTAACCTTGGTTTGGCTGTCCTACAGGCATAACAGTCCTCTTTAGACCGTATACTGAACCCATTCCAACCACAGGTTAAAATCTATTTACTCCATCTCCATCTGTACTACTTCCTTCAGGTCTATAGTTTGCACTGTCTCACTACCTCCCTCAGAGAGGTTTACTCTATAGGGTGCCCCAGTTGAAGAAGATATCTCACTTGTCAGGTCTGTAATCTGTTTTAGCATAATTCAGACTTTCAGACAGTACCTACCCTCATATGGGTCGCACTGCCATTTCTGATAATTCCCTACTTTCACAATACTACACCTGTCCCTAAACTGTGTATGGAGATTTACATATCCCCCCCCCCCCCCCCCCCCCCCGCTCAGTATGAGCAACTACATAGTCCCAGGATGTACATGGTGACATACATATGGTGATGTCCTCCCCTAAAGTCCCTAGTATTTCCCCTTTCCCTACGTCTAGCTGTCTCCTATGCCTTTTCAACTTGTGTTAGGTTAACTACCACTTCTGGCTGAAACAGGAGGGTCCGTGTGTGTTAGGAATATGGCCCCCACAATCAGACAGCTACCTACCGTCGGGAGACCTGTGAATCCCCACCCTCGCCCTGAGAACATGTCAGACGCCAGAGGCCTTCTATCGAACTCACACAGGGATGATCAGACAGGGTAAGGGAATCTTCGTTAAGGAGCCAACCCCCGAGCCCTAGTGGTGATCGGTTCTTTCTCCTAACTCTGTGTTTGTTCGTCAGGTGTAGCTGGGTTTACCTTTTTGCAGTGAGTGACATGCACCCAGGTGGATCTCTCAGCTATTCTGCTGGCAAAGGCAGTACTTGGTAGGGCCCTTCCCGCCAGGCCTGCTTCAGTCTCCTGGTTAGATAGAGTGGGTCACCTTCTCCTTTAGTTCACCTGTGGGGCACAAAACCTCTGACATACAGGTGTGGTTAATAAACTATCATACATGTTGTTTTTTTTAAAAGTATTTTGTCCTCTCCTTCGTATATATTTAATATTTAAACCAACCATCCCCCTTTTTGACACATGATTTAGCCATGTGTCAATATTACCACCTACCTAAACAATCACTTTAGTTAATATTGGTAATTCATTATCCAATTGCCATTCCTCCACTCTCTCTTCTGTTATTTTATGGTTCAAATCAAATATATTATTACCAAATTATAATCTTCTTCACAATTTTCACAGTACTATAAATTACCCTCAACTTAGTAAAATAAACTATCTTAAAGTCCTCCTCTCATGCCTTTAGAATTTACTAGTGTGGATGATTAAAATAACACCAGAATGTTAAAACAGAGTTCAGAGGCCATTGAAATCATTTAACGAACTGTTTAATCCCATAGTATACTAAACATTACCATTATTCTAAATATTTCATAAATGTTAGTTATCCCAAGTGTTCATTAAGTCCTCATGACATTCATTCTCATAAGAAATCATATATACCCCAAACTCAGCCAAAAGCTAAAAAACTCCATAAAATTCACTGTGTGCTCCTCTAAGACCTATCACCCTCGACCTGCTGAACCCCCCCAAAATTGAAACAACAAGGCTTTATAAATATCATACTAGGTGTGTTGTTTTTTGTTTGAAAAACCCAATTTTAAAAACAACCACAAATAGCCAGGCCTTAATTTGGTAGCTCACTTTTATGACTAAATACTGCCTAACTTCACTACTGCTCCCCTAGCCCTTGGCAACATTCCAACGAGATGAGCTAATCTCTTTCTCCTGGTTATCCCCAGTCTTAACCAATCAATAATTGTTTGTATCAATCTAATTCCTCATAACTAATCTATAAAACCACTCAAAATTCCTCGAGTATACAATTATTATTTAATTGATTACCCTAACTCTGCTACATGTGATCTCATCTCAAATGATCCATTATCAATTATTTGTTCAACCCCCTAGGAAAATCTGTATCCCCTTCTATTGTTCCTGTCCCCCCTGTAAATGTCATATTTGAGTTTTTAGCCAATACAATCACGGTTACATCAAATGTTCCCTCATTTAATGGTATTTTCTTCCTAATATAACTTCCCTAAATGAGATTAAATCCCCTGCCTTCCTCTACTATCCTTATATCATTACTGGATCAATGATAATAATTGTAATAACTATTTCACATTAAATTGTGTCTTTTTTCTGATAATGTTATAATTGTAGCCTATTCCATCACTTTAGTTTAAAATATAAGTTTATGTAACAAATCCATAACCCACCACAGGCTGGCGCTATTCCCCCATCACAACAGCCAATGTCACTTGCATCCACTTAACCAAAATACATTATCGTTCTAAAATGTACCAAACATTTATATTTTCCCGCTAAACCTTTTCAGTTCGCTATTCAATTTATTTAACTGTTCTCTCTGATTATGCCCTAATTAATAAAGCAAATACTTGCTATCGTTGATTAGCATACATTTAATGATGTTCCTACCATCTGAACTGTACTGTCTCTCACCCTCCCCTTGCTCCTTCGGGGAGAGCGCATGGTAACCTTATAACATATTTCTAGAATACTTCTATTTGAGCTATCTAATTCAACCTTTCACATTGCTCAATCCACATAGTAATCTAGGTATATAGCCCCACTGCGAAAGCTTTGTCTACTGTCCCTACCTGTGTTCGAACCAGGGACATCGCCAGTCACTCCACACCATCTGCGATGCTCTCAAAGTAACTACTCCCAGTTCATAGAGCAAGTGACGTCACCAAATGAAAATCGCAGTAGCTTTCAACCTCAGCAAAAAACTCTCTCTCCCTTTGATTCCCTATTGAATAAGTTAGTTTTTCTATTTAACCCCAAAACACGCTACAAATAGTCCATTCAACATTACCAAACTAAATACTCAGTAGCATCCGGTCACCACCCACACCAGCCGTTGACTTCGCCTCATGCCACCGAAATGCCAAATAAACCATAATAGTTCAATGGAGCCCCCTATTGGCTCTCCCCTACCTATACATTACTTCCATAACCACATTAGTTATGGTCCGATTAGCAATTAAACCTTATCACATGATCAAACAACGCCACAACCTTAAACTCATATGGGGCGGCAGGCAGCTTAGTGATCAATAGCGCCGCGCCAACAACCGAGAGGTCGCCGGTTCCAATCCCCGAGCCGACCAGGCGAAAAATCTGCCGATGTGCCCTCGCGCAAGGCACTCAACCCCAATCGCTCCTGCAAGTCGCTCTGGACAAGAGCGTCTGCCAAATCACCAAAAATGCAAATGTAAATATTTTCTACTTTCTCACCCATCTCATCCCTCGTCAGAAACCCACAGGCACCTCTCAAATAATCACCCCGTGGTGTTCCCAGCCAACTCCCAGTCTTTCCTCACTCCAAAAGCCACAGTTTCGCTCTCTCCAGCCCCTCCCATCGCAACTCTCTCTCCAGTGCTCGGTGGGAGCAGGCTCTTTTGAGGAGCTGTGTTAGTGTTTCCAATATTCTGTCGTTATTTAAAGTACTTTCATCTAGTTATTTAAATCAAATTATTCCCACCTAATTAGTTAAAGTTGGTGCATGTTTATATTGAAACGATAAACCAAATTATTTCAGTCTAATTGTTTAACCAGTATTTTGCAGGGTCAAACGTCAAACGCCACAGTTCAATTATATCAGCTCAAACGTTTCAGTTCAGTCACACTAGTCATTCATCACTTTAGCTTTATGTTCCTAATTGTTATTAACGGGTTATATGGTTTAAGCAACCACAAACCCAACAGTTATCCCCAAATTATACAGTTTGGACAGCCACAGACGTTTTAATTCCCAATTAGTTTTCTATCAAGGTATACAGGTTTGTCATTCACACTCTCATGCATACGTCACCCCTGTCTTAAAGAATTTTAAGTGTCTCCTTTGAACCTAGTCATATCTAGTCTGAACTGATATGTGCCATAGCGTCGCACTGCCTATTTATTTAAAGTACCTCCTATGGGTGTCTTTTGTTAACGTTTGCACAATTTAAACTTTATTTCCTAATTGTAATTCTCATGATTTACTGTTTTAAAATATTGTTTGTATTCTCAGCCAAAATGGTACACAGTTATTACACAGTTAAACGTAGTATACAGTTATCACACTCACTCACAACACACAGTCATAATCCTTATCACCGTCAAAATGTGACCACCATTACACTCGACACCCCAATCGTAATTGTTAGTTGATTGTGACAAACTAGCTCCCTCACTTATAAAATATGTCTGCATCCCAAATGTCACCTTATTCCCTCTATAGTGCTATATTTTTGACCAGGGCCCACAGGGCTCAATTCTGTTGATGAGGTTTGAACCTACCTCAAGCCCCACTGTGTGATGCAGGATACTGACAAGCAGGACGTGTTCCATGAGCAGTCTGTCAGGCATCAGGGCTGGGGTGACGCGGGCTGCCAGGAGGATCTCTGTCAGGGTGTCATTCATGTTCTTCCGGCTGGAGCTCATGTACAGCCCCTCCAGCTGGCCACTGATGGACGCGGTGTTGGCCTCACTGAGCCTACGGAGGAAAATGCAGAACAGGACAATGACGTTTGAACTAAGATGGACGCCAAAACATCAGTGCTGATTTAGGATCAGTTCTGCCTTTTGGATCACAATTAATATGATTACATGGACAGGGGGGGACCTGATCTTAGATCAGCATTCCTACTCTGAGATGCTTGATACATACATACGGACCCTGAGCATCCCTAGCACCATAACATGAACTGATGTTTTGATATCTGATCAAAAACATGTCCTCTTTGCTTGATCAAAGGTGACAAATCCAGTGCGACGGTCGACACTCAACAGAAGAGGGTCAAGGAACAGTGATTAGTGTGACAAAGCATGTAGAGTAATCAAGATAAAAACCATTAGGACATACCAATTCGATTTTACTGTATAACAGATGCCCCGCTTCACATTTCCACCCCCCCAAAAAACATATTTTTACAGCCATTCTTTTAAACGATTCCTTTTGACGAATCAAATGTTTCACTTCGCCATTGTAGTGGTTGGGATTCGGTTCAATCGAATCATGGAAATCAAAATAAATGTTTGTGAATCACAAACAGTAAAAAAAAACAAAAAACATATTACCCTTCCTTTTGGATTATGGTCGCTGCAAAACATGTTTTGTAGAAATGTTAAGTTGATTTGGGCATTTAATTTATTGCACCTTAATAGATGCTAGTTAGACTGCAGTGAACATTTCTAAGCTAAGATAAATGACTGAACTAGAATAGGTACATTTCCTGTAGCATGGTAGTGGAAGATTTGTTAAATGTAGAATTCAAGCTAAATAGAAGCTGAAACAGTTCAATATAAGAATAGGTCTGATTACTTAGTAGAATGCTACATATTTCAGCTAGCACATCAATTATGAAAAAGGGCAGAACTATGCCTTTAAAAAAAAGAAATGTGACAAACTTGGCTGTGACATGCTTTTAATGGTGCTATCCAACACCTGACTCCAACGTAGTTAATTAGGGGTGTACCCTGACTGGGACTCAAACCCTGGTCCCTGTGACTGTCATTCCAAAACCATTATACCAAAAGGCAAAAATCTCTTGGTGAGGTCGCTAGATGTTGAACTAAGGTTAGATAGTATTTTTTTTAAAGGGGTTCAAAAATTAAAGGGTAGGTTGTATAAACATAACCACATGTCACATATGGATTTGCATTAGTATACGCATCAAAAGTCCCAATGCAAAGTTACACCTCAATTTTTTCTTCTTCAAGTTATTACATTAAACCGATTCAGAAGAATGCTGAAGTCATGTTGGAAAATGTTTTCCTGCGGGGTGAGGTGGAGGACCCGGGAAGCAAGCCTATTCCCTATAATGTAAACTCCCAACAGAAAATAATATAGGGGAAAATAATAAAGAAGGAAAATATATTTAATTAGTTTACTCCAATTAGGGGCTAGGGTGGTAGGGTTTGGGGAAAATAATTAAGAAGGAAAATATATTTTTTTAAATAATATATTTACAAAAAAAATATATATGAGACCCAGCCCATTGACTTATATCCACTGTAGTGGACATTTGAGTTTCATCCCTCTTCTTGGAATCTTTTGTGCAAGTCTCTTAATTCCTGATGTACTGTACAGAGGACATCCTGGGCTTTTCAGTGATATGTCATTTGATTGGCTGGGAGGCCGGGAACCGCCTCTATCTTTCCTTTCAAAATGGACGGCATAGGAACAAGCACATTTTATGGAAAGATGAGAGGTAAGTCAAATATTGTTTGTCTATGGTTTTGTTACTATGATAATCATATATTTTCTTGTTCATGAAGGTGTTAGGAATCATATATTTAGTTCTGATAGCAACTAAATTATGTATCTTTTGAAAGATTTGCCATTTTATGAATGTCAATTATAGTGGACATCAGGACTATCTTCATGTAAATAATGACTCCACATTGTCGTAGGAAACAGAACTGAAGCAGAAAGAATTCTTTACCGAGGGAGATTCAGATTTGGAGTTGTCAGATGAGAGAGATGAGGATAAGTTTCAACCAGTGATACAAAACGGTGATGAAGAAGAGGAAGACAATGCAGAAGGCTCAGTTGAAGGGACAGATGCAGACACAGACACAGATACAGACAGGGATGAACAGGAAACTCGTCGCCCTCTGTGGGCCAGGAGTAACATGTATGTTTGATGCAGTTCCACAATTTTAAATTCAGCTGCATTGAGTATTTAAACTGTTATTACTTATCATTTATTATTCTTTTTTCCTTCATATCAGATTTGCACCTGTGTTACCTGGGCTTCCTGTGTGTCAAGATGACCCTACAACACGTGCAGACTGGAGTCCAATTGAATACTTTTCACAGTACATTGACAACAAGGTCTTTGAAGATTTGGCAACATACACAAATCAAAGAGAGCTGCAAATCAAAGGAGTGTGCATGAACACCACGCCACAAGAAATAAAAATCTTCTTGGGCATTTCAGTCCACATGGCCTGCCTTGGCTATCCCAGAATTAAAATGTTTTGGGCCAACAAAACTAAAGTGCCAGTCATAAGTAGCAAAATTACTAGGGATAGATTCTTCAGGATAAGAAATTCCCTCAAGATTGTCAATGACCTGGCTGTAACAGAGGAAACAAAGAAGGCAAATATTCTTTGGAAAGTCAGGCCAATACTCGATCGTGTGCGCCAAGGCTGTCTCAGCCTTGCAAAGCCAGAAAGGGTCTGCATTGATGAGCAAATCATCCCATTCACAGGCCGTTGTCCAGTCAGGCAATATGTTACCGGCAAGCCAAACCCTACTGGCCTAAAGGTCTTTGTCCTTGCATCCCCAAATGGTCTGATGCTTGATTTTGAAGTCTACCAAGGGAAGAATACCTTTACAGTCCAAAGGTTAGGAGTTGGAGCTGCAGCAGTTCTACGCATGGTTGAATCTGTTCCAACAGGAAGCCACATATTCTTGACAGGTACTTCACAACCATAGATCTATTGGATGCATTGCTGGCAAAGGGCCTTCCTGCAACTGGAACTATAATGAAGAACCGTGTCCCAAAGCTGTGCCAGCTGCCAGTAGACAAACAGTTGAAAAAAGAGGGGAGAGGAACATCAGTGTCAGTGGCCAGAAAGAGTCCTGAGCTGGCCATCACAAAATGGTTCGACAACAAACCAGTGCTCATGGCATCCACTGTACATGGGAAAGACCCAGAAGACATCTGTACCAGATGGTCCCAGAAAGAAAAGCACCTGGTCCAGGTTAAAAGACCAGCAGTAATTAAGCAGTATAATGATAACATGGGTGGCGTAGATCTTTGTGATCGCATGCTTAGCTTCTATCGTATGTCAAGCAGGACCAAGAAGTGGACATCGCGCGTGATCAGTCACTTCTTTGATGTTGCCATCACCAACTCCTGGATACAATACCAGTCTGACAGCAAAGCTCTGCACAGACCATCCAAGAACACACATCAGTACCTGGACTTCAAACTACTCCTAGCTGAGGAGCTGTTGGAGAGTCCGGAACTGGAAAACAGCTGTGAAGAGAGTGAGGATGAGTATGAGCCACCATCTAAAATGAGGATCCCACAACCAGAGCCATCTGTGCGCAGACTAGGAGCCATGCACATGCCTGAGATGATGGATACCAAGCATGCAGAAAGATGCAGAAATAAGGGCTGCAAGAGCAAGACGTACATGAGATGTACCAAATGCAAGATGTTCCTCTGCATTACCAAAAAGAGAAATTGCTTCCAGGACTTTCACCACTAACAAAGAAAATACTAAGAACAAAATGAAGAGTGAAGGAAAAAGCTAGATTGGATTCAGTTTGACAGAAGGAAAAAATCCAAAATAAATCTGTTACACATTAGTTATATGTTCATTGTTCAAATAACACTGAAAGGATTCAAGGGGACCAATCAAAGGATATGGACATAACAAAGTGTTAAGCTTTAATAGTAAAGCTATCCTTGCGAAATGTAAGGAAAAGGATTCAAGAATGATTAATGTGTATTGTATAATCAAAATGTCTGTATTCTTGGATAATAATCAATCTACAGCCCAAAATGTATGTATTCTTAGTTCATAAAAACTCTGTAATCTGTAAGAACTCTGTAAAAATGTGTATCTACCAAATGTGTCTCTTTTCGTACTCAAATGATCCTGTTGTCCACTACAGTGGACATGCTGTAAAATAAAAAATTAAAATTAAAATGTGGAAATTGTAGGATGCTTTTTTTTAACCCTAAACAGTTATTGAATCACAAAAAATATGATTAGGAAAAACAATATTTTCCTTGGTTCTCAGGAGGATATATATATATGGGAGATTGGAAATGATGCAGACAATTACATTTATAGAAGCCCAAATCTATCTGCAGTATTAAAGTGGATCTACCCCCTAACAAAAAATAATAATAATAATCCAACATAAATAACTTTAAATGTGTAACTTCAAAATAAACGAAATCAAGGTCACATCTAGATGGTTATCAATATTAGTTATTTATTGTGTAGGCTGCTATCCTACTTTAAATAAAATAGTGAGAGAGAAAAAATGGCCACGTTAGCTACCGCCGGTGACCGTGACAGCCTGTAAGAAGTACTTCAAGTCTGCAGGCAGGCCAATACAACACCGGTGCACCCGTCGCCGGCTTATTGACTCGTTGTGCACCCCAATCAGCCGCAAAACAATTTGCCGATTCGCTTTCCATACACCCACTCCTTTCGACACACCCACTCGCCCATACCCCGGTTGCCATATTGGGCTGCAGCTACCCATACTTGTGTCTGTCAGCTAGCGCGCTAGCACTAAGCCAAGGTGGAAAAAGTTACAGAACTCCGGTAGCCTACTTCACAGAGAACATGCCGAAAAATTCACTAAACAAAAAGGAGAACAGACGAGGTACTACAAAATCAGAGCGGATATGATTTTCTCTTTCGTTCGAGAAGACGGCACCAGAGCCTGCCATGCTAGCGGGTTCCCACTACATAACACAGCCACAAGGTCCATGAAGAGTAGCTGCATGGCCGCACCGGCCCCATCTGCTTCTTGTTTACATCTGTGATTGGTGGATTGTAGCTCACCACCGCCAACACTCGGTCTGGAATGTAATTACATGCTTGAGCTAGCTACCGAGCTAGCATACGAACTCTGTAGCACAGAGTAGCTCCTCCATATGATGTCGAGAAATAGTGTATTCTGGGTAGTTTCAAAGATATCTGGAAATAAGTTAATAAATATGTAATAACACAAAAAAATTACTATGTTTGTACTTATAGGTAACCAAATCGTGACTACAACTAATTGAAGTCTTTGACATTTTTTACATTTTACATTTTAGTCATTTAGCAGACGCTCTTATCCAGAGCGACTTACAGTTAGTGAATACATTTTTTTTTTTATACTGGCCCCCCGTGGGAATCGAACCCACAACCCTGGCGTTGCAAACGCCATGCTCTATCAACTGAGCTACATCCCTGCCGGCCATTCCCTCCCCTACCCTGGACGACGCTGGGCCAATTGTGCGCCGCCCATGAGTCTCCCGGTCGCGGCCGGCTGCGACAGAGCCTGGATTTGAACCAGGATCTCTAGTGGCACAGTTAGCACTGCGATGCAGTGCCTTAGACCACTGCGCCACTCAGGAGACACCACACTTTGTTGTTACATTGGTTAGTAAAAACTCATGCTTCCTACCCTTTAAATGGCCTTACCGGTTCACAAGTCCTTTGACTTGTCTCTTCAGTCTCTCCAGCTCAGCTTTGCACTTATCATCCCCGGTTTCCCGTAGGTAATGGGGCACATATTTGGGTAATGGGGCACATATTTGGGTAATGGGGCACATATTTGCCTGTTGACGGGGCAGCCTATATATACACTGAATAGTGTTTAATTCTCAGTCTATACATTTAGGTCCAGTTTCCCAGACACAGATTAAGCTTGATGCTGGAATAAAAAGTATGTTCAGTGGAGATTCTCCATTGAGCTTGCTTTTTAGTCCAGGACTAGTAGGCTTAATCTGTGTCCAGGAAACCGGCCCTACAAAATATAAATGTTGCTGAAATTCACAAATGAGATTCTAATTGGGCAATTTACAGTTTCCGCCTTAACCCCTGCAAGCTCCCTCCTCTTCTGCTGCTTCTTCTTCCGAACCTGCACTACCACTCTCATCCATTCCATCTACTTCCTCATCAATTTCATCTTCCTCCACATACTTGCCATCCTCCGTATTGGCATCCAGATCTCCATCACTGTCTAGTTCGCTGCCCTGCTCTTCAGAGTAATCTCCTAATTCTTCCTCCTCTTTGCCGGACATTTCAGATTCACTGTCTTCCAATTTCCTTAATTTCTCTTTGGCAATGTCCATGTCATCACTGTCATACATCATCCCTGAAGCTGCCGATCCAGCATCCAGTACACCCTGAATGTAATCAAGTCCATCATCAGCAAATGACTGCAGCAGATTATTTTTCCTCTTGTTATACCCAAGAGATCGCTCCAATCTCTTAATTTCTCTGTCCTCAGCAACATTTGCTTCCAAAAGTTTTTTTTTTCTTGATTCCTCAAGTTTTTTTTTTGCTTTGCTTTCTTAGAAGGTTTCTTAGGTGCTGTTTTCTCAGCCTTCTCTACTGCTGCAGTCTCAACAGGAGTTGACTTGGGCTGTTGAGCTGCTGGCTCATCTTTCTTCACTGTTCCATTCACCTTTGTTCGTTGTTTATCAGATGGGGTTGCAACTTCCTCACTGTGGATGCTTTGAGAGCCTTCATAGTGATTCTTACTTTTCGTTTTTTTCATCTTTCTTTTCTCCTTACGCATCTCTTTTCAACTTTTCTTCTTAACAAATGTCAAGGCAATGCCATCTTCCGTTTCATCACAGCCTACCTTACTCTTTACAAAGTCGTTAACTGTCACCATATACTTTTGCAATTTTCCGGTGTCTTTCTTTCCTTTCATCTTTGCAACAGAGATTACTATCGTCAACTACTTAGCTATGATTTTATTGTTACTTGACGAAAGACACTGACTTTTATAATTACATTCCTTTCTATACGTCTACCGAGTTTCAAGCTTGGCAAGAAGCAAACGCTGTTTATGAAGCAAAAAAGTTTGTCTATGAAGCAAAAGGCTACCTATCACCTAGTTAAGTGAAATAACCTCTACCGTCGTTACTTCGAAACACTTGAAATAGTTGATCAAAACTATCTTAAAACGTCAAATTATTAGACACATGTATCTTCATGAGGCCAGCCATTGTTGTTAATAAACGACCCAGGAAACACATGTGCTGCAAAAAATAAAACCAGAAACAGCTTCCGGGTCATTATTTTTGTCATGTGTTTTTGGTCGTCACTAGTTACCACAGCCACAAAGTCAGAATGATGGCTAAACCCCGCCTATTCTACAATGCAGCTTCTTAAAATTGGATTTTAAACGTATCCCTAATCTTGACCACACTGCTAACCTTATACCAAACCCTATCCTTAAATTAAGACAACCATTTTTGTGTGTTTTCATGAATTTTTACGATATACGATATAGGCTAACAGTGTGGTTAAGGTTAGTGTTAAAGTTAGGTTTAAATATTTTTTTCAGAAGAGAAATTGTAGAAATGGGCGGAGTTTAGCCATAATCAGAACTTTGTAGCTGTGTTAACTAGTAACGATCCATTCAGTGGGTTTGGATGGAGCCTGAATTACCGTTCTCCTAGCAGCAGGATATTATGCTGGCAGCACGATCGCGGATAAAAAAATAAAAAATAAGAGCCCCCTGCAAAGACATGCTAAGCTTTGCGAATATCGATTTGTTTTTGTTGCACTCTACAACTGTTTTTCACAGCATTGTAATAACCAGCTTTGAAAAACTAAATTGATAATTTCACGTATTTTCTTTTTTTTATATTGTATTATTTATACCAGCATTTATTTTGAAAGTTTACACAAATACTGCTATGTTGAAAGCTATTGTGTAGGCTATATTTAAAGAAATACACTTTTAATAAAATACAAATATATGTTATTGGAATTACTCAATATAGTCTGCAAAAATTAAATGGGTCTCTTGTGCTGGGCAACGAGTTTAATAAAGAGTACTTGTGACTCCTTACTCCACCCACTCCATTCACAGCAATGCAATAGACAGTATTTGGCACTTTAGAGATAACGTTTTTCTACCTGTCTCAGCTAAGGTCGGGTGGAAAATACCCAGTAGGGTCTCTACTAACCAAATATGTGTAGTTTTGGAGGGGGACTGTGTGGTACATATCCAGCAACACAGCTTTAAATGACCTGGTGCTACCCCATGGTCCTAAAATCAATACACACTCAACAACAATAAAAAGGAAACACAAATGCCAAACTTTTTAATCAAAATGAAATCTAATTTATTTACAAGTTAAATGTAATGAATATTAACCAGTATAATCACACTTTCTGAACAGCAATGGAGAACATTATTTACAAGTTATAGGCCTTTATGTGTTGCTTTTCTATCAAGGTTAGCAGTATAGCAGTATACTGTGATGGCAAGGTGACTGGGAATATGGTCGGATACAAACAGTGTAGTTATTCCCTCCGTAAGGCAATCAAATAGGCAAAACGTCAGTACAGAAACAAAGTGGAGTCGCAATTCAACAGCTCAGACACGAGAGATATGTGGCAGGGTCTACAGACAATCACTGATTACAAAGGGGAAACCAGCCACGTCGTGGACACCGACGTCTTGCGCCGGACAAGCTAAACACCTTCTTCGCCCGCTTTGAGGATACCACAATGCCACCGACACCGCCCGCTTCCAAGGACTTTGGGCTCTCGTTCTCCGTGGCCGACTTGAGTATGACATTTAAGCGTGTTAGGCTGCCATGACAGACCGCATCCCTAGCGGTGTACTCAAAGCATGCGCAGACCAGCTGGCTGGAGTGTTAACAGACATATTCAATCTCTCCCTATCCCAGTCTGCTGTCGCCACTTGCTTCAAGATGTCCACCATTGTTCCTGTACCCAAGAAAGAAAAGGTAACTGAACTAAATGACTATCACCCCGTAGCACTCACTTCTGTCATCATGAAGTGCTTTGAGAGGCTGGTTAAGGATCATATTACCTCTACCTTACCTGACACCCTAGACCCACTTCAATTTGCATACCGCCCCAATAGATCCACAGAGGATGCAATCGCCATTGCACTGCACACTGCCCTATTCCATCTGGACAAGAGGAATACCTATGTAAGAATGCTGTTCATTGACTATAGCTCAGCCTTCAACACCATAGTACCCTCCAAGCTCATCATTAAGCTCGGGGCCCTGGGTCTGAACCCCGCCCTGTGCAACTGGGTCCTGGACTTCCTGATGGGCCGCCCCCAGGTGGTGAAGATAGGAAACAACACCTCCACTATGCTGATCCTCAACACTGGGGCCCCACAAGGGTGCGTGCTCAGCCCCTCCTGTACTCCCTGTTCACCCATGACTGCGTGGCCACGCACGCCTCCAACTCAATCATCAAGTTTGCAGACAACATAATAGTAGTAGGCCTGATTACCAACAATGACGAGACAGCCTACAGGGAGGTGGTGAGGGCCTTGGAGGAGTGGTGCCAGGAAAATAACCTCTCCCTCAACTTCAACATAACGAAGGAGCTGATCGTGGACTTCAGGAGACAGCAGAGGGAGCACGCCCCCATCCACATCGACGGAACCGCAGTGGAGAAGGTGAAAAGCTTCAAGTTCCTCGGCGTACACATCACTGACAATCTGAAATGGTCCACCCACACAGACAGTGTGTGAAGAAGGCACAACAGCGCGTCTTCAACCTTTACAGAGACTGAAAAACAGCTTCTATCTCAAGGCCATCAGACTGTTAAATAGCCATTGCTAGCCGGCTACCACCCGGTTACTCAACCCTGCACCTTAGAGGCTGCTTCCCTATATACGTACATAGACATGGAATCACTGGTCACTTTAATAGTGGAACACTAGTCACTTTAATAATGTTTACATATTGCTTTACTCATTTCATATGTATATACTGTATTATATTCTACTGTATTTTAGTCAATGCCACTCCGACGTTGCTCGTCCTAATATTTATATATTTCGTAATTCCGTTCTTTTACTTTTAGATTTGTGTGTATTGTTGTGAATTGTTAGATACTACTGCACTGTTGGAGCTAGGAACACAAGCATTTCTCCACACCCGCAATAACATCTGCTAAATATGTGTATGTGACTAATAAAATTGGATTTGATTTGATTTGAACCAAGTTTTCAAAACCAATAACAGAGACAAGATTGAAAGACAATACATAATACAGAGACTTGTTGATTATCAAAGTCAGCAAAGGCTTTTTCTGTAAAACATACTCTTGCATGCCATTGTGACAAAGCGTATTCACATTGCCCTCTAATAAGACTGCTTTAGTGAACAAGCATACATAAACACCACAACTACTACCGTCAGACTGTTTTCTAAAATGGGGGCACCGATGAGAAAATGTATAGTTTATTGTCACATCCACCACAAATCCATGCATTGACAGATACTGTAATGCCAGGTATTTCTGAAGTGGAAGTAGTGTATCCTTTAATTCTCCTTCATACTGGTTGAGGGGATATCACAACCCACCCCTTTTACAGGTAGGCCTATCAAATGAGAGGAAATGCTACCCAGCAATTGGAAGGGAGGTTGGAAGGAGCACAAGTTAAAACAACTATTATTTTATAGAGTATAAAACTGGTGAAAAGTGTATTTCATCCTCACATTGTACTTGCTTAGGACTTTAAATAAGACAGGACATCTAATAAGACAAAGGCCAAGAAATAATCGCTTGTATTTTCTCACAAATTACAATTTGGAGAGATGGGCTATGAACCATGAATCAGTCCAGAACCCAAGTCCAAGAGGTGAACCTTTGGATTGATTGCGACCAAGGTGGGTGTGGAAAATCGTTGGAAAGCTATGCATAATTGGGGTGAAATAAACCTATAGCAACATGATTTTGATTTGACTAGGATACTACCTCAAAAATATTTAATTTGTCACGCCAAGCGATTTACCTGATGGATTTTTTTGGCACGTCAAGGCTGGCCTTGGGCTGATTTAAATACCTAAATGTACAACCATTACCATCACCATTAGGTTAATCTAGGTCGTTAACAGGTATACCATTCCATCATTGTTGACATCGTGTCTTTGTTTACAATTTATTTCACACTGGAAGCAAATAGGGTAAGCAAAAAAACGTGTTCAAGTGTTTTGTCTTTACAACTGAAATTCAACACAACAACAGTAAATTAATGTGTTGTTTTGGAATTAATAACACATGCATGACTAAATGCATATGTCTATAAAACAGTCACCCTCCAAAACGAACCATATTTGGTTAGTAGAGAGAG